ATAAAATAAAATAAAATAAAATAAAATAAAATAAAATAAAATAAAATAAAATAAAATAAAATAAAATAAAATAAAATAAANAAAATAAAATAAAATAAAATAAAATAAAATAAAATAAAATAAAATAAAATAAAATAAAATAAAATAAAATAAAATAAAATAAAATAAAATAAAATTGCCTTGAGTGTGGGCACATTTGCAAGCAGATCAGTTAGAAAGATTTGGCCTCCAGCCAGGCTTAGGACCCCTACCCCAACTCATGGTTTCCTGGCTGCTTTTCCACCTAGCAGCATGCCCAGCTCTTCCCTTGGGAGGCTAATGGCGGAGAGGAACAAGAAACCACACTGGCTTCCACAGTCCCACAAGAAATACTCTCTGGGTGGCCCTCCAGAGCAGGGACTGTAATTAGAAGAGAATACCCCTGAAAAGGGATTTGTTAGACATGGGGGTTGCAGCAGGGAGACAAAGTTTCCCGACATGCAGCTGGTGTGACCAGCATCTCGGGCGCCTGTTGATGGAGGCCTGGCCTGGGGACTGTAGCAAGCTGCAAGAGGGGAGAACCCACCCCCAAAACACATGCTCTGTGAAACCTGGTGAGGGAATGCGGAYGGCAGATAAGAACATGTCGAGGAGAAACACAAACCAGAAGCTCCCAAGGAATTTTGGAAAGGAAATGGGGAATTAACTGCAGAAAAGGCAGCAGGGGGGACTGGAGAGGGAAGGCAGGAAACGCAGGGCAGTTTACAGCTCTGGACAGAAGGGTCTTGTCTGTGCCCTGCCACCTCGCCAGCCTCCACTCTCCTCCAAGGGGACATCCCAAAGGGTCGGCCTAGTGCGTCCCGCTGGGGACGCACAGGCTGCTGTGGCTGCTCCCCACTTGCCGAGGAGGAATTCAGGGAGAACATGGGAGAGTAAAATGAACCCGAGCGCAGGCTGTTCCTGCTTAGCTGCYGGGGGGCCAGGTCTGGTCTAGCTGCGGCAGTGACGGGGGCGGCGAAGGCCCTGGCGGYCGGCACCATGTATAGGCCCCGCTTCCCAGGGCCGCATTCGCCGCTGCTTCTGTCACAAACCTTTCCCTCGCCTCCCTTTGCTTTCCCGGCCACCCCCTGGCCTTAGCGACCCCCCTACGGCACGGGGTGCCCTTGCAGGCCGCCCCCTCGGCTCTCTCCCCGTCCAGGAGCTATTTTGGAGAAAAGCATGAGGTATTTTTAGTGCTCTGGGCTCCCAAGAGGAACTCTGAGGCCCCGAGCCGCGGCAGCGCTGGCGCCAGGGAAACTGCCGCTGCTCTGGCTGATACTGCTTTTATAATTAAACTCAATCCATCCCGGAGGCYGGGTCTTGGCTACCAGCTCAGCAAGGAGGGGAAAGGAGCAGAGCCAGAGAGCTGGGGGCTACAGGCTCTGACAGATGCTGGGAATTGCTCTGTGAGCAGTGGGAAAAACAGGGATGAAGCTTCTGGGGGAGATGGGTTTTTGCTGGGCACCCGGGAGTGGGACAGCTCCAAGCATGGGATTGAACCCCTCCAAAAACCCAGTGTTGCCATCASCACCATCCCACTCCCCCACAGAGGGACAGGCGGCCACCATGAATGTGTCCAGGCTTGGGCAGTTGGCACCACTGCACGTTAGGGCTAGTGAGAGAAAAGTGATGGGGACAACAACAGTCCCTGGCTCTGCAGGCAACAGGTTTGGATGGAGGATACCGTCCACTCATGCCCCTTCCGTGCCCAATGGCAAACTGGGACTGAGCAGCAGGATTCCAAGAGCTCCCAGCCCTTGCGAGGGGCCCAGCAAGCAGCAGGGATCCCCCGCGAGCTGAACRCCAGCCAACCGCAGCGCTGGAGCGGCGGGGAAGCCGCTGGGCTCTTTGCTCCGCAGCCATCTGGCGAACACAAGCTGCGGTCCCGGGCTGACGAGCGGAGCGGCCCCTGCTCGTTCCCACGCCCACCCGCGCCTCCATCCCGGGGCCCCAAATCTGCCATCGAGGAAAAGGCGGCTGGGAGAAAACACGGCAGYGAGCCTTCCCCTTGCTTATTTTTTTTCCCCTGTGCAAAATGAACAGAGCATTTATTCCTCCACTCCCCTAAATTTCAAGATACAATTGCAAGGATTCAGAGACCAAGCTGGCATTCCAAGCAACAGTATATTTTATATAACTGATTTTTGTTTTTTACCACTTTATAAAGCCATACAATGAACTGCAAAGAATCAGACCTCTGTACAAAGGAGAAGACGAAAGCAGAGTCACATTCGCACATGGACATGGTGTGACCAAAGCCATCTTTACACACGCGACCACATTATGGGCACAAAGATACAAAATATAACGTATTTTTCCATCTATATAAATACACAGAAATGGGAAAGTCTAAAAGTTTTAAACTGTTCATTAACACTGATTAGCAAATAAATCTGTAACGTTCCCAAAGTAACAAAGACATCAACAAAAATAACACGTGTAACACGGCGGCACAGGACCGCCAACAGAAACATTGGGTTGCTTCCTTTTCCTTTTTGTTTTTCTTTCCTTTTTAAGGACGAAAAAATAGTAACCCCAAACCAACCTCACAATTTGCAAAACAAACGAACGAAATCAAACAGGCCCCTGCGGGCTCCTTTGCTGTCTGATCTTCCTGCCTGCTCCAAGGGGAAGATTTTGCCTTCTCCTCTTGCTGCTGCTGTCTGGGTTTTGGGGCAACTGCTTCATCCTCCTGCTCGACTTGCTAGGTGGGAATTTGCTCGACCCACTTTGCCCTTTGGTTCTGGTTCAATCTTTCAAAATTGATGAAAAAAATACTGCYGGAGCCTGGGCTGGGCCTGCACGTGGCCCTGGGCTGGCTGAGGGGGCTGAAGCCAACCTGGTCCCCACCGTGCTCGAGGGTGGGAGATCCAGGTGGTAACTGCTGCATCCAGCGCAACCTCAAGCTTTGCACAACTCATCTGCTTGAATAACCCTTTGGGTCCACAGCACATCCCTTCAGCACGCAATGGCATGGATACCCCCCGCAAAAATCGTTTGCACATTCCATAGCTGGAGGCAGATGCTGTGAACAGGCATCCCACGTTTCATGTGCCGTGGGGAGGGCCAGGCACCACTCGTTTTGTTGGTCCTCAATTGATGGGATCACCCTCTGCTCTGCTATAGATCACCCACTTTTCTGGGACATGCAGCAAACAAACCTCCATTGGGGGCATTTCTGGCAGCAAAATTGACAGCAAAGGAAGAGGAGCAGGAAAGGGGTTCTCTGAAGAACAAACCAACACAAAAAGGGCACGTACAATAAATTTACACACGCAAAAAATATATATATATATATGTGGGGAAAAGTGCGTTTTAAGGATATCTTTGGCAAGAATATATGCAGTTCTTTGTGCATGAATGAGGGATGTGTTTGTGAGTGTGTGAGAGAGAGATAACATCCGGCTGCTGCAAACGGCAGTGTGATTACAACGAAACATATGCTGGGCTTAACTCGAACAAGCTTGAATCTCAAATACCATGACTGCATTTAAAACCAAAGAAAAACCAAAGAATCTTTTCTGTCCCTTTCGTAAAGAAAAATATCAACATAGTACTAGGTCCCCACCGGTCCCGGTTGGCACAAGGACCTGGGTGATCCCTCAACACCAGCTGATGGAATTGGGGACAGAWAGGGTAGTTACACATGGCAATGTAACTTTTTTTTTTWWWWAAAAAAAAAAAGGAGATAAAAGAAGAAAAGTGCCTTTAAAAGTAGCTGACAAACACCTGGCTATGCCACTGGAAGGTGATTAGCTCTGTGTTAAAAAAAAATATATATGTAATCGTCGGACGATTTTATTAGTGTGGGAGATTTGGACGTGGTCTAAATCTCTGTCTTCAGCTAGTGAGTTAGTATTTAAGCTGTGAGCGGGTCACAGCTCGAAGCAGGCGTGATGTTATCGGCAGGTATCTGCTGTGGTCAGTTTAACCATGACATCTCTGGGGTGCTTTAATCTGCTTCTCTTTRTGGGGAGAAAAAGACGAATAGGAGTTTCAAGCACCGGGTTCCGAGGCAGCAGATTAAAATAAAATTACATTATTACCATCTCTTTTTTAGCGGTGAGCAAATGAAGTCTGAAAAATAGAGACTTTCAAAAATATATATTTATATATCTATAAACACAGTGTTTCTCTAATTGGTTAAAGGCAGGGTGAGGAGCTTACGGGTGAGATTTCTTTTTTTGTCTCGCTTGAATTTCGCAGAAGGAGGGAATCGCTTTCGAAACRCCCAAACCGCCGCATCCTCGCGTCCGTGCGGATGGGGGGCGGCAGCGGTGGGGGAGCCGCGCGCCTGCCCCCCTCGTCCCCGGACACCCCTCGTCCTGCCGCCGTCCGGCCACCAAACTGCCCGCTCCGTATCCAGCGCCTCCTACCAAGCCTGCCGCCTCCGAAGYGCCCACGCCGCTCGCCCGCCCTCTCGCACACGCACATGCACTCGCTCACGCTCGCGGTCACACTCATGCCCACCCACCCGCCCGGCGGTTCCGGTCGGGGGGAGCCAAAAAGGGAAAATGGGGGGGGACGCAGAGGGCCCCGCGTTGGCCCTCGCGGGCCGGCGTCGCCCTCCTCGCCCCGCCGCTCTGCCCCGGTGCCGTTTTTCCCTGCTCTCCCTTTTCTCCTAACGTGCAGGTGTTCCCCCGGGGCAGAGCAAGGAGCAGGGCGGATATCATGGGGGAGATATGATGTGCGGAAAGCAATATGGCAAAAATAAATATTTTTTGGAGTGTAAATTTAACTTTTTTTTTTCCTCCTTAAAATTTCATTAGCTTACAATACTTTATCAGTATAGCTCATATATATATTATAGCTATCGAGGCTGGGGCGGCCTGAGGGAAGCGAGCTCGCTGGGGGCTCTGCGGGGTACACTGCTATGTCAAACTTTTGTCCCCAGCAGCCTATGTATCTGGGCCACTTTGAAGTTTTCTCCAAAGCAGCTCTTGGCTTTTGCATTTGCCTGGCTCCTGCCCCCATGCAGAGTGCCAGGAAGTTGGGATACAGGCAGCAGGGCCATTCCTATATGGCTTGGGGGGCTTCTTAGTGGGGGATGTTCACAGCCGGCGGCTCAGCCCTTGTTTTCAATAACCCAGCAGCTCTGTCCAGACTGTTCCTCCTGCCTCTGGACGTGTGAGCAGGATGTCCTGTGCTCCCTACGTCCCCACCAAGTGGGCACCTCCACTTGCTCCCCCACTGCTGGCGCGGGCGCCGTGGCTCAGGGGCCGGGTGCTCTGCTCGCCCTTCGTCCCCTCCTACCCTGCACGAGCCTCGTAAAGCAAAGGGAAAAGCCGACAGCACTTAAGTCCCTGCAACATGACAGGACTCTTGGAGGTGCGAGCCTCCAGCATGCCAACTACGAGAGATGCACTGGCCAAGCAGGCTGGCTCTCAGAGGACCTAGTACCTCCCCACCAAGCCAAATCTGTCCAGTGACTGCAGGTCCTAATATATTTTTTTCCCTTAATTTTTTTTTTTTAACGTGGCCTCCAAAATAAAATGTAAAAAGCGCCTCAGTTACTTGTAGTCATTCGCCTTTCGTGCAACTGAACATCCATGCAATTTAAAAACTGCTTGCATATCTCCAAAGAGAGAGATAGGGCTAGCCACGGGTCCATTGCCTTGCACAGACAACCCATCTGTGCCAGCATCCACTATTATTAACATTATTATTATTACAATATTTTTCTTTCCTTTTCTTTTTGTTACGAGAACAATGTGACAGGCCGCAGGAGAAAACTGCCAAAGAGGACTAGTGACAGGAGGGAAAAAGGGAAGGCAGGACAGGAGGCAACTCTAGATCGATTCAGAAAGTTCCCGTGTGCATTTGCCTTCTCCTAAGTGCCGGAGGGATGGAACACCCGGACACGATGCCGCGTGCCACAGGCACGTGCCTGAGCGGCAGCATCCCTGGGGAACTGTGTGGAAATGCTGCAGCTCTCCCTCTCTGGGTGGACTCACGCTGCTCACCTGTGGCCAGTCCCCGACTCTGACCGAGCTCTGAAATCAGCCCAAGCTCCCAGGATATGGGAGACTTCAAGATCTCGTGTGTCCCAGCAAGTCGCCAGGCGGCCAGCAGATTTGGGAAGAAGCACGGGGGCTCACGAAGACCCTCTGCTGCGGCCAGGCATGGGAAGGTTTCCAAGATCATCTCCGTCGTCCTGCAGACCTGGCTTATGTGCCGGCAAGGTTTTATTTCCTGTGGGTTGTTTCAAACACGTAGCAGACTTTTGCAAAAGGAGCTGTTGGAATGGAGCTTCTCCGGTGGTTCTTTTTCTTCAGGCAGCATATCAGTCATAATCCTGAATTCAGTCCAGAGAGAGAATCACTGCTTGGTCCAGCCTCAGGACTGCAATGCCAAAAGCTGGGAACACACTTCTCGCTTCCGGCTTTGCTTCGGTCGCCTTCCCTGTGATGGGACATGCATCCATGTCCTTCCCTCTTTGGCACAACTCTGYGGCTCTGTTACATAGGTGCGTGGCTTTGATTCCTCTGTGGGTGTGTTTGGCTTGTGTTGAGTTYTTAGGGGTTTTGTTGTGTTTTCCTTTTTTTTGTTGTTGTTTGCTGTTTTCCTCCAAAATTCCAACCCTTTCCCCCCCAGTTCACTTCCCTCTCCCACAATGCACTTCCTTGCACTCCTTCTCGGACCGGCTCCAAGTCCTTCTCCAAAATTCAAGAATCACCCGCGAGCACCGGCTCATCTTTTTTGGCCGGAGCCGAGCATGACCCTGGAGACAAAGTTGACAATGGCTGCAGCTGGCTGGTCCGGATCCAGCTCGGCAAAGAGGTGGCAAACGTTGTCCGTGGTGCTCCCTTGCTTCCTGGCCACGAAGCCAAAGAGCCTGGATGGGAGAAGGCAAGAGGTTCAGAGAAGTCCTGGCAACAAACTAGTGGGGTGCTGTGAGCAATGTGGGAACTGTGATCCCTGGTGGGGAGCCTGAGGCTCTCAGGGCAGCTGTCTGCAAGACTTTCTGCCTCAGGGCTCTGCCCAGAACGCTTCCTGGGGAGTATCTCATGGGTTGCCCAGCTCTACACACCCAAGGGCAATACCAGCCTCTTCCTGCATGGGCCTCTCTACCTTCACCCCCTCAACCTCCATCTCACATGACACAATGTGAGACATCTTGACAACCAGCCTACATGAAGACCGAACCTACCCTCCCCTTTGCTGCAGTTTCTCTGAGGACCAACATCTCATTTCCCTTCAAGCATCTCTCCACCAGTCTTCCTGGCTCCTTCACTCCGACCATTCCCATCACCTTCCCCCAGCTTGTCCCCAGGAAGGGACCTTCCAAATGGTCCCAACACTGCCTCCCTTTGGGTGAAATCACAGATGTATGACTGGCCAGTCGTTAGAGTAGGCACTGAGGGGATCCTCTAACACAAGAAAGGCCATGCAAGGACATGGGGAGAGCAGACCCCTGTGCTGCTGCACACAGAGCTGAGTGAGACCGTACAGTTATTCCTGTCTGTCCTTCCCATAGTGAATAAAATGTTCCTTTTTTAATTAGAACATGAAAACTCAAGTTATAAATACAGGGGAACAGAATGTGAGACAGGCCCAGGCATTTCTAATTGCAGAGGGGAAATATCCCAGCAGCTGGGCATCCTAATAAATACCCTTCACTAAGATAATGGCTAAAATTAGTGGGAATTAACCCCTGGAACTGAGCTCGGCCAACAACTCTGTGCTCCTGCAATTCAGGAAAAGGAGGAAGAAAGGAAGGGAAGAGCCAGCAGGGTCATCATGGCACTGCATGGATCATGTGTGGTTAATATCACCCCACCATGCTGCTCCATAAGCTGGTCTCCCGCTAACGGAACCAGGATGATTTCCAGTGAGGCCAGTTCAATGTGGTCCATACCTGCTCTGATCAGGAATTTGGGGCCAAAATATGCTCACTGAGTCCCTGGGAACACAGTCACATGCTTGCATSAAACTTTCCTCCAGCAAGGACCTGAGCCTGTCCCTTGAGGAACAGCCTCTCACCACCCTGGAGCAGGAAAGCTATTMATCGGATGGTGTCTCCAACACAGTCATTTACTGCCTGCTTGTACTTAAGCCAAAGTACTTACTTGGCTGGGCCACTGCCATCAGTTTTAGTCCACCTGCAAGCAGAAGAAGAGGTATGAGGAGYTGCATCTCCTGCACCCTGCAGAGTGAGGAGGTAGTTTGCCTAATATCATCTCCACTGGGGCCACCGTGAAGACCTGGGGATGGTCTGGACTTATCACAGGTTTGGTACTTTGGAAAAAGAGGAAAAAGTCCTGGGAGGGCCTGCAAGCTGGTCCATGGTCTGCAGCCATGCCCATGAGGGGTGCACAGAAGAGGCATGTCTGYGCACATATGTGGATGGCCTCGCTCTCCACAGTATCTCCCTGGCAGTGACCAAGAAGACACTGCAAGAAGCCAGCATTTCCCCAAGGTACCTGGATGTACCCTTCMTCCCTGTCCTCCTCCAGCGAAACAGGGACTGAGCAAACAAAGATCCTGCACCGAGCAGCCCAGGAGCCTGGAAGGAGGAGAAGGGCAGGGGGATGAGCTCCCCCTGGGCTAGGGCACTCACTTTCTTTCCTGGGGATCCAGGTCGCAGAAGGTGACAGTGTTGAGAGGATAGTGTCTTCGGAAGAACAACCTGAAACACAAGGCAGGGAGCCACAGTCAGCGAGCTTCCCGCTTCCTCCACAGCACCATGGTCCCAAACAGGATTATCCCATCATTGCTGAGCTCCCACCAGTATGGGGGCTGTTTCCCTAGGTCTCCCTTGGGATGTRCCAGGAGTCAAGGGCAGAGCTCATCGCTGATAAAGAGCAGCCTAATGCCACCCCAGGGAAATCCTTTACCAGTGGAATCCTTGGGTCACAGCTAGTCATGGGTACCCAGCATGGTACCCAAGTCCCACACAAGCTTGGGCCGTGGGGACTCGAGGATGTGGCTCTGGGAGCTCTTACTTCCTCTGGTTGTCTGTTAAGGTGATGCCTTGAGCAGAAACTTTGAAGTGGACGACAGTAGCGGTGGGTGTGGGGTCGGCGACCAGCGTCTCAGAGACGGCTTTTGCTATGGCCTGGGGGCCCGTGAGCGACTCCATCTCCACCGAGTTGATGAAAAGGACATTGCAGGCTGGAAAGGGAAACAGAGCAGAAATAGGGTGTGTGGCCACTCCTGGCCATGTTCACCCCATAGCAGCGGGGCTCCGGGCACCCCTGCCTACTCACCCGCACCCTGTTTGAGGAGGTCCGTGGCAGAGTTGGTGGTCGATGCTGAATCTTTCTTTTCCTCAGTAGGATCTAGAAGAGAGAAGATATCACTGCTTCTCCCTGCTTGAAAAATGAGCCTTTTCTTGGCAGCTGTGGGGGCAGATGCACTATCCTTTTTCTAGTCACTAGACATCAGGTCCTGGGGTGGATGCTGGCTCCCAACATGCCACCCCGAGGGAAAAGCCCAGCCTGGATCTGAACTGTCTGAGCACAAGGGTAGAAGTCCTCAGCATGGAGAGCAGAAGGGCAGGTCCCCAAGACTGTCTCCGCTGGGGAAATACAGCCCTGAGCGTGGCTCTGGCYGGCAGGGGAACCAAGATCTCATCCGAAGCTGCAGAGGGGCAATGCTGCCCCTTTGCTCCCTTCTGAGCATGACTCTYACCTCGGTCAGGAATGACCAGCTTGCAGGGCAGGGCTAAGGGCATGATGGAGTGCTGGTACACCAGAGCCGAGAGACACCCTGCAGAGAGACAGGACACAATCAGCACGCAGCTGGGGACACGCATTATCCTGCCGTGGAGCATGTTAGCCACAGGATACCTGGAACAAGGGAAGTCTCCAACCTCCCCACTGCCCAACAGCATCATTTCTCTTGCTGTGCACCCCTCAGAGCTGAGGATCTGTGATACACTTTGACAATGTGTGCAATACTGTTCTCTGACATGCACACAGTCGCTCATGTGTGTGCATGTGCAGGAGACCAAGCACTCTATATGTTCAGACGTGTGCACACACACAGGTATAGGTATACATACTGGGGCATTTGTGTGGATAGAGGGGTGCTCAGTTAAATTCAGGCATGCATGAAGGTTAAGTACTTCTATGCAGAGGCAGATCTATACAGAGGCTTCTTAAGGCCCTGCAGGATTCAGTTATGCAGGAACAAGTGGCTGTGGCAGAGGCAGGGGCCCTCCCAGACACCTGGTTGCTCTACTGATAGAGTCCAGCAAAGCAAGGACGCTCCCAGCCCTGCAGATGGGGAGGCACATGGGAACACTCACCAAAGTTGGGCTCGTTGGGGCATCCTTTTAGTTTCACGCCCCGTGGGCTGGTCTCGATRAGGAAGTGTCTCACCAGTTCATTGGTGATGTCTCCTGGGAAGAGATGGGAGGTTCTCACACCAGAGCCACCCTCCTCCTCCCTGACAGCTGCACATAATCCTTCATTTACAGGAGCAGCCCCCTCCAGGCTCTGTCACCCGCCAGTCCAAGATCCCACGGGAAGCCAGCACTCTGGCCCTGATCCAGCTCAAGGGAGGGGGCTCTGCCTTTCCAAACGCCTGCCTGTATCGAGTCCTTTGCAAGGGGCTGACCTCGAGTCAGGCTCCCTTGTTGCTGGGCTGGGGGGCTGTGCCCACTCCTCCATGCCAAGGACCAGCTGCAAATGCCCCAAACCCCTCACAGCTCAGGGCGAACAGTGTCCAGCACTTCCCCGTGCCACTGGAGGAGAGGGTTAAGGAAGAGATGGGAGGGAAAGAGGGGTGCTGCCGCCTCAGCACATACCCAAGGGCCCACCATACTCAGCAGCCCCGGCTGCCGAACAATAGAAAGCATCCCCGCGTGGGAAGCAGCAGGGCACACAATACCTTTCTTGTTCTGCTGCATGACCGTGGGAGGTGGGGAGGCCACTTTCATGGCGAGGCCGTAGGCTCCCCGGAACGAGTGGCTGTCGCGGATGATGAAAGCCCCCGGCTCTCTGTCCTTCAGCAACGTGATGGCTGCAGAGAGAGAAAGGCGGCTCTGAGAGCCCTCGGAGCAGTAGCCGGGCAAGAGCCGGGYGCTTGGCCACCAAGCTGCACAGCTCCACTGCACACTGGGAGACACCGGTGCGCAAAGGGAGGCTTGGGGAGTGCAACGCCTGCAGCTGGCTTGGCCTCAAATCCACTCTCCCACAGCTCCAGCATCCCCATCCGACTTCACTCCCTACCCAGCCGCAGGGTTTTCCCTCAAAGAAATTCCTTCTAGCTCCCACAGTCCTGCAGCTATCTCCAACTCCAGCCTCCAACACAGTGGTGCATCCGGAGTCTCAAATGTGGCTCACTTGGCTGACACCTCCTCCTCAAGCCATTTACCCAGGAGTACCCAARCCATCTCCAGGAGCATTAATGTCTTCACTCACCCTGCTCCCTGGAAATGTCCGGTTTGTACCAATACTTGGAAGTGTCTTGGACAAACTTGACATTGGCACGAGTCTCAGGGCTGATGTCTGCAGGAAGGAAAGGGGAAAAGAAAAAAAAAGTCATGAGACACTCTAAATAAAATCCTGTTTTTGTTTTCAGCAGTTCCTGCCTGCAGTGAGGCACTGCCAGCTGATCTCCAGGAGTATTAATATCTTCACCCCATTTTAGCCAAAGCATATTGCCCTAATCTCAGGTCGTGGCAGGCTCCATCCAAACATGGTCAGGTTGGTCTTCACCTAGAGCTGGTGTGGCCACATCTAAAGCTAAATGCAGGCACAAGCCTTGAAAGGCTATGCAGGGAAGAGCTTATCCTGCATGTACACTGAGAAAAAAAAAAGTCACTTGTTATTTAAAAGTTGGCCAGACAGGTGATTAAAAGCTGTCTGTGGAAAAAATGGGATGTCCAGATGGTGGGGAGGAGATCCCCCTGACTTTTTACCACTCTCCAGAGCTATATCCCTCATAAATATAAATCCCTTGCCTTRTCTTAGCTGCATGCAGAGGACCCAACAGGCAGATGCTCCCCAGGAAAGGCAGCTGGTYCCCAGCGCGGCCCAGCCTTGCCAGGCTCTGTCTGTGGCCGAGCCCCGATGGGACCCAATGCTCCTGTTATGAAACTTGTGCTTTGCTCACTCTCCATTTCTAACCACCTGCTTTTCACAAACAGACAAGTAAACAACCTGCAGGGCTGGTCAGATAACGCCGCAGGCTTTATCAGCCCGTTGCAATCTAGTTGCCTGCAGAGGGAGGGTTCGTTCTCATCTCCAGCCTCCTCTCTAATTCCTAAGGTTTCACACTCGCTCTTCACAGCTCGGAAACATCCCTTCTCCCTGCGGGCGCTGAGCTTGGCAGCCCACAGGGAACATGAGCGATGCGGCCAGGGTGTCCACAAAGGGCTGCGAAACCAACCTGGCCGCTGCTCTGGCGGCGCTTTATTCCTCTTGTCCTATCAGCCCGATCTTGGCGTCACGGAGGTGTCTCCTAACAGGGGCAGGGAGACRGGTTCCAGGCACCCTGGGCCCGGCTTTGCAAAATAAGGAGGCCACCGGATGCAGTGCAGCAGGGTCCCTCCGGGACAAGGCCGGCAGGGAAAGGGKCTCCGGGGTCAGCGAGTCCCCACGGGGAGAAAGGCCACGCGGATGCGAGCGGCCTCCTGGGGCTTTGATGTCCCCGTACACAAACTCCTGCACTGTTTATGCCAGCATGACAGCAAGTTTGCTTCTGATGCTCAGTCAGTATTTTCCTGTTTGGATTCGCTGTTTTTAGAAGCAAAAAAGCAGGAAGTGGCCCAAGCCCCAGAAGTGCCGTTGGTTTCTATGCTGACTGGAGGAATAAATCAAGTCACAACCCGACCCCGTCCCCACTCACCAGTGCAGAAGAGGGGAGAGCAAGGGGTAAAGAGAGGACAGGGAAGGGAGACTTGAGACCTGCTGACCAGGAGAAGCCAAAACTTCTCCTATTCCTTTTTCCATGTTCTTGTCACCCTCGAAGCRGAGCCCCTTACCTGGCATGGAAAACTTGGAGAAGTCCGGCAGGGTGTGTGAGAAAGTGACGGCGCTGCCGCCGCTGGGGCTGGACATGCCGCTGGAGAGGGGCGAGGACGTCTTGCCGTTGACGGTGGCGTAGTTGGGCAGGCTGTTGGAGCGCTCCCCGGCCGACATCCTCCTCTTCTCGGGCAGCGCGGGCTGCGGCGTGGGGCTGCCCTGCCGGTAGGCAGCCGAGTCGGGCGAGGAGGAGTGGGGCGTGCTGGTGCCAGGGTAGTAGGCCGGCGAGACGGGGAAGGACGGCGTGGAGGGCGGCTGGTAGCCGGACGAGCTCTGCCGGGACAGCGTGGGGCGCCTCTCCTCGGGGGCGGCGTAGCCGTAGGCCGGGCTGCCGGCGGGAGCGCCGGGCAGCGCCTGGTGCCGGGCCGGGCCGGGGCTCCCCGGCGCCGCGGGCGCGTGGCGGCCCAAACCGGGGCTGCCGGGAGCGCCCGTCACACCGGGGTTGAGCGCGCGGCGCCCGAAGCCCGGGCTGGGCGGCGTGTTGGTAGCCACTGTCCGGTGCAGCGTGCGGGGGCTCCCCGGCAGCGTGTGCACCCCCACCACGCTGACCTGCGGCTGCGGCCGAGCTTGCGGGTCCGGCGTGAGGCCGCCGCGGCTGTCGGGGTAGTCGGGGCTGCTGTAGGCTGTGCCCRGGGCGCCGCCTTGGGCCGCGATGAAGGAGGATGGAGACGAGTTTTGGTAGCTGCTGTAAGCAGAGGGCACTTGGGAGGCGACGGGCGACCGGTAGGTGGATTCGGCCGCAGCGTGGGGAGGCGTAACCGTGCCGTGGGGGCTGCCCTCCGACGGGTAGCTGCGGATGGAGGCTCTGAGGAGAGATGGGCAGGTGGGAAGGATGCAGTTGCTGGGACCTGCTGTGGCTGCTCGCTGGCACCACGTCTCCAAGCAGCACGCAGGGAAACTGAGGCAGGGAGCCAGCAAGTCACTGTGTTGAGCAGTGGCAGCAGCAGGACAACAGCCCAGAACCTGATAGCCATGTGAAAGCAACTRGAGGCAGCTTCAGTTCCTCCCACACACACAGATTTCCACATTTCCATATGTCACTTGCTGGAAATTTCCACAGCACAACTAGTTCCACCCAGCCCCAAGCAGTGTTAACACAGACCCAATTCCTCCTCCTGCCCCAGGGACCATGTTCCCAGCAAGATGCTACCCAGGGCCCAGTGACCACCAGTGACCCAACTCTATGTCCTTGGGGAGCACCATGTCACAACCACCTCTGAAGATGCCAGAGGAGCCCTCCAGCTTTGCCAGCTTGCAAAGAGGGACAGAGATCCGCAASGAGCTGCCTGCTTACCCGTCCACACTGTGAATGGGGCTGCTTGTGGAGATGGGGCTGGGAGCGATGAAGGAGTTGAAGGCACCATTCCTGGTGGGCACCTCAGTGGTCTCCGGCTGGACGGCCGGCAGGCTCCCCCCTCTGCCTGTTGTGGCTGTCCGTGCCACCGACTCGACGTAGCTCCTGGGCTCTGCAGCACAAGGGAAAGGGAAGTGCATGAGCCCATGGCTGGTGCTGCTGTTGAGAGTGCAGGAATGGTGTCGTGCCTGTCCCAGCCACCCCATTCCAAGCAGTGAAGGTGCCTGAGCTGAGCTCCTCCAGCTGCACATTTCCCCCCATCCCTCTGCACCATCATTTCAACCAGCCTAAAAGAAGTCTGACCATCTCCTTCCCACATCCCCAAAGGATGTGCAAAAACAGACAGGATGGGCCTTGCACACGCTTTATGGTTACTCTAATAGTCCCTGAAGCCCCAAGCAAGCACACAGGGAGGGGGAACCCTGCCCGTCCCTTCCCAGGGCGAGCAGAGCCACGGTCCCCTCCTGCAGCGTGACTCGGCCTCACTGCAGGCTCTGACACTGCTGTCCCTCTGCCCTGATCCGAATCAGTGTCCCTCTCTGGCTAGGATGCCACGCAGCACACGTTGTGCTCCACACTCATCCTCAACCCGTAAAAATAGAACCGGTGGCCCGGCCCAGGCCGCAGTGACTCACAGCAGGACCAACAGTTGCGTCCCGTGATCTCTGCCCTGTGCCATCTCCAGCAGCAGAGACCAGGGCAGCATCCCAGCTATTTCACCCGGAGCATTCAGTGCTTCCTCCCCACTCCAGCTTGAATGTGAACTCAGAAAAAGCAGTTTTCCTTTGGAGCCTGGAGACTGTCCCCACCTCGAGTCTGCCCGTGTTGGACACACAGCACCGAGGGGACCCTGTTCCTCTTCAGGACTGGGGCTGGACTGGCAGCACGAGGCACAGCATGAGCGAATCCAATGACATTTGCCTCCTGCCACTTCCCATGCCCTCTTCCCTGCTTGACCACATTGTTGGACTGCCTAAAATGCTTTGGGCTGGGCATCCCCACAGGCCCCCTGCTCCACCAGCTCCAGGCTGGCCATGCCCTGGGCGACTCTGCAGTACTAATTAGCGCTACAYACATTATTATTATCATTACTCATAACAACCAGGCTCTGGCTAAGCCTGCGGGCAAGACAGCCTGCTTCCAGCCAGCAGCACCAATGCACTGGGCCGTGTTCAGAGCTCAATCCAGGGGTGTTGCAAGGAAAATGACTGTCACAGCCCTCTCTCCTTYCCTCCCTACAGCACTCCGTGAATAGAGAACCAAAGTTAAGTGCCCRTCTGCAGACAGGGGAGGATGAGTCAGTCCCCCGAGGCTGAGCTCTCTGCCCAGCCCCGCTCAGCAATCCCAGCAAAGATCTGAGCAGAAAACCCAATGACGTCAACATGGGCTGGGTACCAGTGGCTGAGGCAGGGCACAAGGCTTGGAGTGACAGGGACAAGGCGCTTGGCATCCAGAGGGACACCCAAGGCAGCTGCAAGAAACTCAGGGCTGCTTAGGTAATTAAATTAATTTCACAGCAACACGCATCTCCTCACTTGTCCCCACCCCAGACTAAAATTAGCCAGACAGGACAAATGAGTCAGTCTGCAAGAGGTTAAGACGAAAGGGCTGTGAATACCAGCCCCTCCTGCGAATGCAGAGAGACTACATGGAGGCAGAAGCCAGGGGCTTAGCAAGAAGGGCAAAGGGAAGGCAAAGCCCACACGTGAACGTGCAGGAGCTTGGGTGGGCAAGTGCAAGGGGCTGTGCAAGAATAAGTACGAGACAGCGAGGGTGGCTGCGCAGCTGTGGGCACACGTCTCTGCGGGTTGGTTCACTACATGAAAGAGAAAAAACAACTGGGAAGTCGGAGGCAGGATTTTTTTAGAATGAAAAATCCRATCTTGCTTTCTTGCGTTTTCTTGGAAGAGGCTCTGGAGACAGGAAGACGGTGGGAGAATAGAGAGGCCGTGAGTCATCCAAGGGTGGGCAGCTATTTGGGAATCCCTTCCAGAGAGGAGCTCCCTGTGTGCCAGACCCTTCCCGAGTCCGAGGGGGCTGCGCTCCTGCCAGAAATACCCCACACCACAAGTGTGACGGGCTTTTTAAAGCCTCCTTGCAGGCGGCAGCCGGGTCTAAACTCATGCACTCATGCCTAAACTCATCTAAACTCATGCCAGCGCAATCTGAAAAGCCCCCACCACCTCCCCTAAGCCAAAACAAGGTCCCTGCTCGGGGCTGTGGACCAAGCCCCACTCCAGCCACCACATTATCTCAAAGGGTGAGAGAAGGAAAGCGGTTTTGCAAGAGGTTGGTGGTGGCTACTTTACCCCCACTGGCATGGGGTTGCCCAAAGTCCTCACCCAGGCTAAGCGTCACACAAGCAGCAGGAAAACGTGACACCAAAGAAKCTCCTTTCTGTCTGACTCCTGAGGGCTTTGGTGCAAAGGACTGAAGAAGAGATGTTTGGGTCTTTGGAGGGCAAAAATGCTCTAGACGGAAACATCTAGAAGGAAAATCTGGGGGGAAAGCCTATTTTTATCTCCACTTTTCTTCCTCTAAGGCCTCCAAGAAACCATCTGAAAAATCTGGAAATTCTAGAAATGGAGGAACTTTTGTGTAATTTTTTTTTAAGCAGACTCTTTCTCCGGCATCTCCACAATGTTCATGTTTGGGCTAATATTTGTATTTCAAGGAATTTCTGCGGTGAAACACTAACTGTTCCCATGGGGCACGGAAAAACGTAGCAAACATACCGAGAAGAGACATCCTCTCACCGAAAAGGATTGAGAACAAATAGTTTCCCATCCTGGCCCTGAAGGCCTGAACTTTCATTAAATAGGAACATAAAACCACCCAAGAACGATTAGATCGAAGGCGGCACATTGGGTAATTGCAGGCGCTCCCAACGCCTCTGCGGCCGCGGGACACGCGCCATCCCAGAGCCACGCAGGAGCTCCGCGATCCGCAGAGCCATCCCAAATCCTGCTCGGGAGGCCCTGCAAATCCCAGATGACGGAGGCCGCGGGTGGATCGAGCCGTCCCAGCTCAGCCCGTGTCACAGCGTCCTGCTGGGACGCAAAGCCCGGGGACGGGACGGGATGGGACGGGAGCAGCTGTGGGGATTCGGGGCAGCTCTTGGGCGGCTGTGCCCGCCGGCGGCGGCTGCTCGGGGCCGGTGTGCTCCGCCGCCGCCCGAGAGGACGGGCTGGCGCCCAGCGGAGGCAGCAACATGTTTGCAGCCTTTGCGCCTTGTGACCTTTTGTGCTGCACTTTGGTTTATTTTCGCTCTCCTCCAAATGGCAGGAGCGCGGCCAGAGGGGGAGGGAAGGATCCTGGACACGGGGCTGATTTGGCGGCGGCTGAGGCGTGCCAGCTTTCGCAGGGTGTCTCCAGCGAGGACATCACGCGCCACATTCGCACACAAAGAGCTTTCARCCTCCTTGGACCACTGCCACCCTATGCGATGGACCTCGGCGTGCGTCCTGGGACAAGGTGGCTACAGGAGCGAGGTGCTGGCCAGGAGAGACTGCAGGGAACACACAGCTCCTGGGCAAGCACCCGCGGATTGACACCACGGAGGGGAACTCCAAACACCAGGAGCTGGAAAAGCACTGGCCCCTCTTTACCCCATGCATCAGAGACATCAGAGAATCCAGTCACATCACAAGACACAACATTTCTCTTCCCAAAAAGGATTGGGATCATCAAGACTCAGGCTCCCAAATCACTTCCAAGGGTCGACTTAGAGACCCCTCCAGTGAAGGGAAACCTGCTATCTCAGACAGATTCAGCCCTCTCTGAGTGATGGGYCCAGAGAGTTGGAAGGAGTGGGGAAAAGAGATACAGAGAGAGAAAAGCCTTTCTTACCTTCACCAGAGTCAACTCCCGCCTCCCCTTCTAGCTCTGAAAGATGGAGGAGCAGGGGAGTGATGGGATGTGAGGAGAAATGGAAGAAGGGAAGTGTGAGACAGAGAGAGAAATCAAAGTTTAGAGGCTTTTCCTTCCTTTGATGAGGGCACATGGAGAGCAAAGGAAGGGACCCACACTTTCCTCATCGTGCACCCAACCCAGCCCCTGCACCCCAGACACAGCTCCTGGGGGTGACTGCAACCAGTCTGACACCCCGGGAGTGATTTCCAGACCTGAGGCAGCTGCTTTGGGGCGGGGAAGTGGGGGCACCCTGGTGGAAGGCAACCACGAAGGGCTGCTCTGAAAGAAAAATCTGCAAGCACCAGGGGAGCATCATCTAAGCTGCACCCCGCAGGTCGCAGCAGGGTCTGTGGGGCTGGCGAGCAGCAAGGGGTCTGGCTCAGCCGACAGCTCTGGGACGCTGAGACCCAGCACGTCCAAGAGAGCCCAGCGTGGGGTCGCTGCAGCCTTTGCACTCAGGAACCTGTTCCTGGGATGGAGAGGGCTCTGGATACTGTCCTGGCTGACAGGCTCTGCTCCCGAAAGGGCAAACTCTCTCCAGCTGCACTGGGAGGAGGAGGRATGAAGGGAGCGCTGCGGAGGAGACGGGACACAGGCTTCTTCAGGCTCTGCCAGCAAAGATTTCCAGTAATGGGGAATTCATCAACACAACCACTCATCCTCTGCCATATGGCCCTGCTGGGATGAGCCCCCCACGGCAGCACTGAGCTCACATGGGCAAATGGTCCCAGATGACCCGGGGAAGCTGCAAACCCTCTAGGGCTGCCTGTCCCAAAGGAGGAGGCAGAAGTGCCCTCTCCTCTCCAGTCAAGGGAACTACCAGACGTGTCCCATGGACATCCCTCATGGAGAGCCACCTCCCACCTGCAGCCCCGCGCTCACCTCCCACCGGGTGCAGCAGGATCTCAGCTGGGTTGTGGGGCTTCAGCCCCAGCGCTGACAGCGGCGTCTTGGCCAGGCCGGGCGGGGAGCGCACTGTCCACACAGGAAGCAGAAACAGCAGCGTTAACAGAGGGAAGGCAGAAAAAGCTTCAGAAAGGCCCATGGTGGCACTGCTGGAGGGTTCGCAGCCCCTCACAACCCTTTCATCCCACTTGAGGGGAAGAGAAGCTGCAGGGCAGGCAGCCAGTGCCCATCAGAGGTGTCACCCTGGGACAGTGCACCAGCAAGAGCATTTGGGGATGCTTGCAGGGCAGGAGGTGTCCACAAAGTAGCAGCCTCTTCCTGGAATGGGAGGCTGGAGGGAAGGGTCAGCTCCTGCTGGGGCAGGCCCAGGTGCCATCTCCCAGCAGTGTTCCCATGAGGAAAGGGTCCTACCATAGGTGCAAGCCTCTATCATCATTCCTCTGAGGGCAGCCACCTCCCCCCACCAGCTCTCCCAAGCACTTAACCCCCCTTCTGGCCCCCATCTGGCTGTGCTGAGGCTGGGCTGGCCCAGAACAACCCATTACACCCCAAAATGGACAGCAAAACTGCCAAAAAAACCCCACATCCTTCAGAACAGTTCCAAGGGGCAGGTGAGGATGGTCATATGCGGCATGTTCTCTGAGATCTGGAAATGCAGGTATGGCCTATGGTGTGCATCCATACGTCCATATACAACGGAGCTGTATATGCAGATATGGGCATGAGTATGGATGCACTGGGGGTGCTGGGCAGCAGGGTTTCCTGGTGCCCTGGGAGCAGTGGATGAACCAGGTGAACTGCAGTACAGTCGGTCTCTCCGAGCTGGCTGTGCATCCTGCCCCATCCCACCCCAYGGGGTTGGCTCCCATCTCCTCAATGTTGCCTCTTACCCCAGCCACAAATAATCCAGCTTTCTAACCCACCAGAAGACCTTTGAGCCCAGGGGTGGCTGGAGGCTTCGCGGGGAGGCGTTCTGCCTCCAGCAGGACGGAGCAAGAGGGAGTTTCAGGGCACGGTGTCAGCCTGTCCCCACTTAGAGCTGGGGCGCAGCGCCCAGGGCCGGGAGGTGGCGGGTGGTGGGCGGCTATGGGGAAAGCCAGACCCCGCAGAGGCCACATCCCCACGGCGGCCTTGGGTTGCAACAACTGTGCGGCTGAGCCACTGGGAAACCAAGCAAGGGCGAGATGGCAGCACCTTCCCCGGCCCTGGTGGGTGTTTAATCCCCCCAAATCTGGCCCTGCCACAAGCCACAGCATCAAGCTCGGCCTCTGTCAGCTGATGAACTGTGGGGTCCTCCCCTGGCTGGGAATTCCCCCAAGGATCAACCTCTCCATGGAGGGGAATCGCTCCCGCATCCCTCCCCTGCCGCTTTGGCTAAGCCTGAAAGGTTCAGCTACAAAATGCCCAGGCCTCCCCATGGCGCTGGATAAAATACACGGCCTGGGGGGCACTTCTCCAGTGAGGCCCTTCCCGTCACTTCTCTGAGTGACTCATCCCCAGAAGGAGCCACTGTGCCCATGCCAAGGAGTTCCCATCCCGAGGCCAAGCTCTCTGTGTCCCCCTGGAACAACAGAGCCATTTTCCAGCTGCCAGATGCCCCGGGGATGCTCCCACACTCCATCCGCTGCATCCCATGAAACAGGGCTCGGACACTGGCACGCTGCAGATGAGAAACAGCAGCACAACAGATGGAAATAGCCTCACGAGCCCATCTGGGCAAGTTCCATGGTTGCCCACAGTGACCACTGCTATCAGGACACAGCATCGGAAGGGGCTGCAGGCAGCCCCAGCATTCCCAGGGCCAGCGCATCCCTCAGAGCTCATCCCACAGAATTTTGGGGGGGAATTGCCATCTTTGTGACCAGCCTTGCTGGGTTTCCCAGGCGAGCGGCCACTCCGTTGCTCYGCTCCAGCCCAAGTCCCGCCGTGCTGACGTGCTGCTCCACATGGGGCTTTGCTGCGAGCCGGTCAGACAGCCCCAGAAAGCACCAACCACCGTGACTCAGGTCGGGGTTAGTCAGAGAGGAAACAGAGGAGCAGAGAAGTCTCTCATGCAAAGGACCCCGCTGTTGCAAATATCTCCCAGCCCTCTGGCCCCTCCTGCACTGGAAACAGTGAGTGAGAAGTGACACTGCATGAGAAACTGTCCCAAGCACCTATCCCAGCTGCTAACCTCGCTTTCCCGCTACGGCAACGTCCCTATTTTTATGCTGTGCAAGTAGGGAAGATGCAAAAGTGCTGGAGTGGTCTGGGAAAAACAATGCTGCCTTGCACCCTGTCACCCCTCTCCTGTCCAGCCTCAGGATCCCTGCTGCAAATTGTCCCCGTGCATGGAGGACAGGGAAAAACCAGGAGGAAGGTGCTGGGTGTGGGATGTTGTGGAGCAGAAGGAGGCGCTGGGCAGTGTGTGGTGGGATGCSAAGAGGAGAAAGGAGGAGATAGAGAGGAGAAGGAGGAGCGATGCACATGGTGGTGGGTGTCTGGAGCCTGGAGCCGTCTGCCCCTTGGCAACTCTCTGGCTTAGCCACCCACCGAGCCCCTCCACCTCCCGGAGCCGCGGCACTTACGGGGCTCGGAGGAAGGGGGTTGTGGCGAGACGGGGAGGTCTGGGGTGGGGGGAGAAATCTCACCGCCGCCGCCGGGAGGGGGGCTGCTGGGGACGGCGCCCTCCATCTCCTCGAAGGCTTCCTTGTAGCTGTGGAGGTGAGGCTGCGGGARAGCAAGGGAAGAGCTCAGTGCCGTCCCTGGGCTCGCTCCTCCGCGACACCGGCACCGGGAGCACAGCGGGCCGAGGCTTTCCCAGCCTCCCTGCTAAAAAGCTAAGCCCCAGCTGGACCTCCTGCCGCGGGAAGCGGCGGAGACTCCATGTCCCCCCGCCAGCCGCCCGCAGCATCGCACCTCTTTGGGCCTGCCTCCGGGGTTGGCCGCGATGGTGCTGACCACCTCGGGCGAGACGCTGTGCACGGGCGAGCGCAGCGCGGGGCTGCGCGGCGCGCCGGGCTCCGGCGAGCTCTTCTCATAGTGGCTCTCGCTGGGCGGCCGCTTGCGGGCGGGCACGGCGCTCTCGTCCGGGGGCTGCTTCTCCCGGCTCTGCACCCCTGTAGGACAAGCACAGGGAAGGTGACGCGCTCAGGAGGTGCCAGCGGAGGTGGCAGCRGCAGGAGATGCCCAGGGCTCATTCGAGAGACCGCCCTGGGGCTCTGCCCACAGGGACAGCAGATTCGCCTAAGGCAGCACCTAACCGCCCTGGCATGGCCTGTTTCAAGCTGGATCRGATAGTCCCTAAAGAAGCAGCCCGCAGCTGAGCAGAAAGACAAGCCCAGCTTGCTTTTTCCTCCCGTGGCTGGCACCTACACGGCTGCTGTAGCCTTCCAAGCACCACCTGGCTCTTGGATTCAGCTGGCAGAGCATCCCACAGCAGCATCACGCAGTGGGATGGAGCATCTTCCCACAGCCCGGAGAGCCCAGAGACAGCACTGCCTGCCTGGGCCCTCAAAGCCCATGGGCACCCGCAGGCTGCACAAGGGCARGATGAGTCCCCAGGGAATGGGCGCTTCCCGGGAGAGAGAGCCCATACCCCCTATGCTCATGGAGCATCTTTACTTGGCGAGAGGTGGCTCCAGCCACAGCAGCAGGGCCATTTCTGCAGCAAGGTGGAGGTTGCAGCCAGGGGGTGGACGGGCCATGCAGAGAGATGGGGCAGGGAACCAGAGCAGCCCCAGCTGCTCCCCAGCTGCTGCCCAAAGCACAAGCTTTTCCAACATGGGAGAACAGCCTTTTCTCTCCATCTCCCTCCACGTCTCCCTTTCATGCCCCCAACAAGAAGAGGGCAATCACAGAGTTATCAGGGGAGCAATTCGGGGCTAGACACAGTCCGTTTCCTCTCTGGGACAGCAGTGAGGCCACCCCTGGTTTCAGACCCACTGCTCACCCTGTCCCAGAGGGGGGCTGACACCATCCCACAGCCGGGGAGCGCAGAGCAAGGGCAGCAAAGCAGTCCCTGGCACAAGGGACAGCCCCATCCCGCAGCCCTTCCTGCCGATCCTCTCGGCTCAAAAAAGTAAGTAAGTAAGTAAATAAATAAATAAATAAAAGCACAATGTCATTCTCCAGGAAACGCACTTTTCCTACACCAACTCCTTTCCCACGGGCTCACAGAGGAGCAGCAGCCGCGAGCTGCTTCCCGGCGTTCCGCGGGGCTGCCTCCTCGCGCCCGCTGACCTCTCCTCCCTGTGCCGGCACATCCCGCTCGCCAGCGGAGCCGCGCGGGCCGCCTCACACTTTCCCTGGCCCCGGCACGGGCTCGGAGCGAGCCAGGGAGGTGGATGCATTTCTAAATAATCAGCGCAGCTAATGGCAACGACAATCAAATCGCCGCTCCGGGGAGAAGCGGCCGGGCTGAGAGGCGGGGGCCGCGCGCCAGCGGGGCTGGCTCGAGCCGCGGAGGCGGCCTGGAAAATTCCACTCAGAGCGGCTTTGAAACACAACTCCCGATCTCATCTGCAGGTGCTCGGCGGCTCGGCCAGCCCCGGCCCGGGGGGCWGGGGCAGGCAGTAAAAAGGCCATCAGAGAGGACAGGGCAACGGCACGCAAGCCGTGATGCCGGCGTGGTGGCCGATCCGGAGGGCTGTGAGTGGCCAGMCTAAATCTTTTGCTTCACTTCTTCTTCTAAGCGAATGTGTCCCTAAGTTGCAAGCACAGGAAGAAAAGGAATGGGGAAAAATAAAGCAAAAAGTTCTGCATTTTCTTCTCTCTGCTTCGTGCACGCTGGTGGATGAGCAGGGGCTGCAGGAGCAGCAGCGGGAGCATCCCCTGGCCTGTCCCAAGGCGAGCTGCAGACCCAGCACTGCAGAGAGCGGGGGTCCCGGCCGGGTCCCACCGCACGTTGCCTGCGTGCCCGTTGTTTGCTTTTCGAGCCCAGGAGGCACAACAGGCAGCGCTCTCGGTGCACAGCGCCTGTTTGCAACGCAGGGACGGGCCATGGCTCCGGGTCACCCGGCCACGATGCACCCAGGTGTCCCCAGATCCCACGCAGCGGGAGAGAGGCCAGGCAAGGAGCCCGTGGCCAGACACCCCAAGGAGAACGGCTGAGAGGAGGTGGGAGCAGGGGGCCCCTGGGAATCGGTGCACAGGTCTTGGGGATAAAGTGCTCGGCAAAAGGAAGCAGGAGCTCCTGGGAGCAGCCAGCGCTGGGCAGCGCCAGCCAAGCGCCTCGGCGGCGCTCAATCCCCCTCTCTGTGCCCGGCGCTCAAGACATCCACGAGTTCACTGGACTTTYGCTTCTCTGCTCCCCAGAAATGGAAAACAGACAGAGACGGCGGCGAGGGGAGGGAGGGAGGGAGGAYGGGAAAAAGGGACTCATTGTTCGGGAGCCGGGAGCGGGAACCATCGCCGGGCGCTTGTAACAGCGCCTGGAGGAAACCCAGGCTCCCAGCACCGCTCGCCCCGACCCCCGGGGGATGAATGTGCTGGAAAGGATGCTCGGACATTAACAACCTGCCTCCCGCACGGTGCGCCCCTCCTGCGGACACAGCRTCCTGCCCCGCTCGCTGGCCCCGGCAGCACGGCCCCTCTCGCGTCCACCCCACAGGCCACAGCCAGCTCCTCCTCTGCACTCTTCCAGAGCACCTTGCTGACACAACCGCCTGTGTTTCACCCCAAAACCAGTGCAGCAGGGCTGACGAATGGAGAGATGTGCTCCAGGAACACCAGGCCCAGCAGCYCCAAGTCAGCCCTGGATTCAGCCCAGGTAAACCCTGCGAAGGTTGAATGAGAAACAAAATCCAGAGTGGAGAGAGGAGTTCACACCCACAGCCTGGGGCTTCCCCATCCGCTGGGGGAGCTCAAGGTGYGTGGCGATGGGGACACTGAGCATCGTCCTGCTGAAAAAGGGGATCAACCCTGTGTGGGTCTCCTGAGCCACCCCCATCCCATGTCCATGCAACACACAGAGCACTCGGCATGCAGGAAAAGGATGAAGGATGGAAGGTGGAGGAAAAGGAAGGCAGAGAAGGATGGAAGGAGGAAGGAGAAGGAAGGAAGGAAGGCAGAGAGGATGGAAGGAGGAAGGGGAAGGATAGATGGATGGATGGATGGATGGAAGGAAGGAAGGAAGGAAGGAAGGAAGGAAGGAAGGAAGGAAGGAAGGAAGGAAGGAAGGAAGGAAGGAAGGGGAACAGAACAAACCAGAGGAGGAGAAGGGCCGTGGCTGGTTCAGAGGAGGACGGGGGGCTTTGGAGCCCTTGCAGAGGTCCCTGAGCTTGGCGTTGTACTCTGTCAGCACACCCAGACAGGGGTGCAAGGGGATGGAAGAGAGGGTTGGAGCCCACAGGAGACAGATGTGGTCCACCACAGGGAAGGGAGTGGCAGATGGACAGACAAGACGTACCACAATGGACAATAGGGAGAGAGAGAAAAAAAACAAGAGAAAATATTAGCTGGGCTCCCACAGCGGGGTCTGCAGTGCAGCCCCCTGCCCCTGCTCCAGGTTCTTCTGCTCCCCGTGGGAACTGGGCAGCTCCCAGCCACACGCAGCCTCCCAGCACACCGTAAATGCCCCGCTGATGCTCGGACCTGTCCCCTTGGGAAGACACCGCACAGGTGCCCTGCACCTTGCACCAGCCTCGCACGTGCTGGCACAGCCAGAGAGCAGCTGCACAGCAAGGAGACCGGCAAACACCACGGTGGGGAACCAGGGACATCTGCCACGCTTGCCTTGGGCTTTGCACCTCAGCGTGCCCGGGCCTGGCATGCCCCGGGCACAGAGCATCCTAACCAGGAGGCCAGAGGGACRTGAAGGACCATTCCTGCTCCTGCAGGGTGCAGTGGGACTCAGAAGCACCGGCGCTCCCCGCCCCGGCGCACGGAGGAGGTGCGAGATGCTCCTCATTGCTGCCCTGGGATGCACCGGGCAATTTATAGCAGCGGGGAATGTAAACAAAGCCAGGCCTGGCTCGCCAGGCGCCCACTGCCAGCCCGGCGCTGCCCCGGGACGCCTCGTTCCCACTGCAGGTCAGCGGACACCGGCTCCGTCGGTGACAGCTGGACGTGGGTGGGCACCAGCCCCGCTGCTCTCCTTCCCAGCAAGCCCGGAGATGGGTCTCATCCCGCCTCCAGGACCCTTTCCCGGACTCCTGAAGTTGGGGCAACAGTTTCTGATAGACACAAGCAAACATCCATGTCCAACCCACCACAAATGGCACTGCCCGTTGGGATGGTGCCAGRGACAACCAACCGGCCTCTCCACACTCACCCCCTCTCTGCTCTTTTCCACCTCCRTTTTTTCACCCCTCCTTGGAGCTGCTAGAAGGATTTTGCAGTTTGCCGCATTGCTTCTCCTGGCAATATTCAGATACACAGGGGTATCTCTGGAGGCGATGCCACGCAGAGGTGCATATTTTTCAAACCCTCTGCACAAGCTCTGGGGTCCCTCAGCACTTCTGTCATCTGAATCACAAATACTGGGTTCGGACGGATGCAAGCTGCCCACYGTCACCTCCCAAGCCCCCAGTCCCACTGGAGCCCTCCTGCCTCCGAGCCCASGGCCGCAGTGACTCAGCCCGGGGCCCGGTGGGCCGGGGCTGGTTGTACTTTTCCAGCCAAGCCTTTTCCCCCTCCCGCTAATACCGCGCGAGTTTCTGCACTGAGCACAGAGCTGGAGCGGACGGAGCCGCCAAGCCTCGGCATCGTGAGCTGGCCCCGAGCCTGGACACAGCCCCGGATCCTTCCCAAAAGTCRCTGCTAAACAACTGCTCCTTGAAACGGCACGGGAGGAGGCATCCACACAGCTCCAGGGCCATGGGAGCCCATTTCTGGGAAGGGGCTGGCACCCCCTGTGCCCCAAGGCTCCCTGAGAGAGATCCAGGAGAGGGCAGGAATTTGGAGCACAGTTTTCCTCTCAATGGCATGGAGCAAACCCCCTCATCCTGCCACAGCCCCGATGCTCTGCACTGCACAGAGGCACACGGTGCTGTCCATCCTCTCCGGGCTGGGACGTGCCTCCCCATCACCCAGTTGCCCTCACACACACCAGGCCCATTCCCTACCTTCCTAGGGCCAACTGGGGCACAAGGCTGAGCTGAGGAGCCCCAGAGAGCAGGGCCTGAAGCAAGAGAGGGGATACTGCTGCTCCCCCTGCACATTTCCCTCCCAGGCGGCACCCAGGTTGGGCAGGAGCCCAAAGTCTGGCACTCAGAGGGGAAAGGAAGGATCTGCCCTCAGAGAGGAGCCAGCTCTATGCAACACTAGGCACAGACGCTGCCCCTTAAAGCAGAGCTGCCCATCCAGGTGCCCCGTGGCACCAAGGAGAGGCACAGGCTGCCGCCCCRCGCCGGCCCCGAGCCCCCCACGCTGCAGACAACCCGGGGCACATCGGCTCTGCAGCGGCCGAGCGCGAGCCGAGAGCCGCACGGCACGGACGAGCAGTCCCTGCTGCAGCCTCGGAGCCATCCCTGCCRCCGGCAGCAGAGCTGGGAATGCCAGGGAGAGCCGGGAATGCCAGTCCGGCCCCAGGCAGCCCAGGGCAGCCGGCGGGCTCTGGCGTTGCAGGACACACGGGCCCTCCCGTCCCCACAAGGAATCAAAGCCTCCTACCTGCCACCCTGTGGGCTACCAGGCCCTCCAGATTCAAGGGCTCTTCAGCCGATCTCGACAGGTCTTCGTAGCTCTCAAGTCCCTTGGGGGGCAGCTGGTTTTGCGCTGGGACTGTAGGGGAAGGTGGGGAAGAGACCAGGAGCTGCTGAGATCCCACGGGGCTGTAGGAGGTGCCGAGCGAGACGACGCTCACGGGGGCACTGGCCGGGGCATGGCTGTAACTCCTTGGCTCTGGCACGGAGGGCGGCTGGTAGCCGTAGGGCGAATAGGCCTCCCGGTAATCCTGCACCAGGTAGTCTGGCTCGCCGGCACCACGACCCACAGGAGAATAGGCTTTGGGCACAGGTTCGGAGACCACGGGCCTCAAGGAGGTACCGAAGGACCTTGGTGGGGCCACCTGCAGAGCCGGCTGGCCATAGAGACCCGAAACAGGCTGGGCTGACAGCGAGGAGACCAGGGACCCCGGCTTGTCTTCATGGGACGTCACGGGCACACTCTGCGACTTGTGCACGGCGGGAGCGAGGTCAAGCATGAGGACATCGAGCGCCTCAATGGACTGCTCGATCTCCCGGCGGGACGGAGCCCGCGGGAACTCGGGCATGCTGTGGCTGTGCGGGGGCACGAGCTGCAGCGGGCTGGGCTGGGGGCTGCAGCTGGAGACGCTGGGGCTGTGGCTCTCCAAGGCACCGTCCTGCAGCCGGGAAGGCGGCCGGCTCCCGCCTTGCTGCTGCCAGGAATTCAAGCCCCTCTGCACGGCCTCCCGGCTGCTGGTGCTGCGAGCCGGGGCCTGGGGCAGCGTGGGGTTCGCGTCGTACTTGGCCAAGTCCACCGCCGGGTAGGACTGGGAGCGATAGGCGCCGGGAGGGTCGTAGCTGTACAAGTAGGGCTGCACGCTGGCCAGCGGCTGGGGCTGCAGCCAGACCGGGGCTGGAGAGCCCGGCTGCCTCGGCGGGTAGCCGGCCAGGCTCTCCTGAGCGGATGCTGACGGCCGCAAGTGAGAGAGTGGGTCACGGATGTGGTGCCCCATTAGTGTGTTCTGGTTGTTGTAGGGGTAGCCACCGTTGGAGAGCGGCTCCGCATCGTAGAGCCCTTCTTTGAGCAGCTTCTCGGTGCCGTTGTAGCTCGAAGGGCCGTTGGGCAGGGAGGAGAGGCTCCCTATGCGCGGGGCCTCGTGGTACCCAGCCTCGCTGGTGGTGGTGGTGCCATCCAGGGAGGAGAGCGTGCCCAGGCTGCCCACGCTGTGCCCGTCCTGGTTGGGCAGCTCGTCATCTAAGATATCTGTCTCGCGCTCGGGCACCAGCGGCGCGGCGCTGCCGTTGACGTGCACCTGAGCCGGCACCACGTGGCGGCCCGTCATGGTGGGCAAGCGGGCGGGCGGCGGGCCCGGCGCGCGGTTGTGCATGGGCGCTGCGCTCTCCAAGCCGAAGCCGACAAGGAGCYGCTCCAGCTCCCGCTTCTCCTCGGGGCTCAGCACCGTGTGGCCGCCGGGCGCCCCGGACGCGCCCGGCTCATCGGTCCTGTCGGTCTTGGTGGAGGCGGTGGAGTTGCCCGAGTCGCTGCTCACCGAGAGCGTGTGCTCCACGTGGTTGGGCGCCGCCGGGAGCGGGAGGCGGGCGGTGTTGACAGCGCCGGTGCTGCCGTGCAGGGAGTCTTTCTTCTTCACCTTAGCGTAGAGGCTCCCGTCCAGGGGCCCTTGTGTGTGCCCAACCTCTGCAGGGGGAGAAATGAACACGAGACCCGAGATCAATTGCTGGCTCTCCGCACGGAGCTAATGGGGCCCATTAGCCGACGGTTTCGATCTCTTCCACGCCGCCGTAAAACGCTTAGCTCCCGGCACTGCCGCCTCCTCGGCACCCTCCGCAATCCCACAGGCGCCACCGTGCACAGAGCCCGGAGCCAGACCCCCCTGCCCATGCACCGCATGCCGTCCTTCCTCCCAACGTCCTCTCCTGAAAGCACTGCATGCTCTGGAGCCATCCAGCACGTAACCCCCCGATCCCACGCTTTGATCCAGTGTCAACGGCAATTTTCCTCCAGGATCCATTGATGGAGACAGTTGGGGCTGCTGATAAGGCWTCAGCTTGCACATAACAGTGTCCCTGCTTCTCTGCACGGTTGAACCAAGGGCCACAGGGCACTGGGGAGCCTGTCAGGGCTGTGGCAGYGCTAACGGTGGGAGCGCTGCCTGCGCAGGCATTGGGAGCACAGGCTGAGGATCTGCCTGTGTCAGCAGGCTGTGTTCATCCCCAGATGGAGGACAGATGAACTTGGGAGCCACCTTCCCACCCACTTCTTCCCACTCTCCTCCCAGATGATGCTCAGATCCAGCCTTGACATTTTCTCCCCCGGCTACAGAGAAGCTCCCACCCTTTAACGCTCTCCTTTCCCTCCTTCAGGGAGGACGGATCTGCTYGGTCCTTTCCTGGCCGGCCGATGCTTTCCACTCCTGCCAGTAGCCTCTCCTCCCCGAGAGGCACGGATGCCACAACCCAGGGCCTGTGCAAGCAGCCAGCTCCGCTCCCAGCCAGGCCCCAACGGGCTGCCACGACACAGCAACGTCCCCACCCTGCCCTCCAGCAACCCGGGCAGGACGCCCCGTGCTGGGACTGCCCGGCTCCCCCTCCGCTGGCTTCCCATCCCTCTCCAAGCATCCAAGCACCAACCGCCCCCGGCAGCATGAGCTGCACCCAACGCCGATTTCCCAATGGGTCGCACAGCCCGTGGGTGCAAAGAGGGGCTGCAGGGACCCCGTGTGCAGCGGGGACGGCGTGCGGGCCGTGCCCGTCCCCCCGCCGGCGCGCCAATGCCACCGGCTGGGCTGCAGACTCTTGTTTTTCCAGCTCCCCGCCGAGGTTTCCTGGAAGGGCCCGCGAGCAGCATTAAACACTTTCTTTTGGAGGAAAAAATGACTCTTCTCTGGCCCGAGGCCAGGCGGCTGAGTCAGGAACRGAAGGCGGCTCTAATGCGATAGTGTGAAATCAGAGCGCTCCTATCTGCGAGCAAAACGCTTCCGAAGGCGACGGCCGGCGCGGGGGGCCCCGGCGCTGCCCGCTGCGCCCGCCCCGCCGTGCCCAGGCTGCCCACGCGCCCCCGGCCCCACCGCAGCCCCCAGACCCCCTCGCTGCAGAGCGCGGCGGGAATAACACCCAGCACAAACCCAGGCAGCTCCTCCCCGCGCTGGGAAGAGCCCCCTCGCCACCGGTTTCCGGAATCCCTGGCGGCAGCCAGCGGTGTCCCGAGGAGATGGACAAACCTCAGAGACCCTCCTGAGGTGACGGGGCCCCCACGCTGGGGCAGCCCCGGCGGGGTCCTCTCGAGCAGCCCGGCACGGGGAAGGAGGTGAGGATGGGAGTCCACAGTTTCTTCTGGAGACTCGGAGAAATTCAATCCACCCGGTTTAGGCAGGAACCCACAACGCTTGACTCAGCAACACCTCCCACACCAAAAAGAAGGGAGAGAGGGAGGGAATCCCTACTCGTGAAGAGAGAAGGGAAGAAGAAATGAGTGTCCAGAGGCAACGTCAACGCCCAGGAGGTTGCGGCATCGCTTGGAGCGGGGACCTCGCCTGGCCCTCCAGGAAGGCAGGGATGGGCGCTGGCCGCTCCCAGGACATGGCGAGAGCCAGTGTGGGAGGCAGGGATAAATAGGGCACCGGGAGGGAAAGGAAAAGGGAATAAATAAACGAAAGCACATGGCTCCAGGGGGAAAAAATAGATAGGAAAGGCTTTAAATAGACTGCGGGCTGGGGATTACCCCAGGGCCAGGAGAAACATCTCGAAAGTGGGGTAAGCAGGGAGCACAGAGCAGCTCTCCCAGCGCGCCCTGAACACCCCATCCCACCTGCTCTCTGGGGCAGGGAACGTCTTGGCCCCCAGGCCAAGAGCACTAACAGGACTGTAAGGACGGACACGGGCTGCAGCATCTCCACCCTCAGCCAGCTCCTTGTCCCCTGGTTCCTGTGCTGACAGTCCAGCCCATCCCCATCTCCTGGGCTCTGATACCAAGATCCAGCATCTGCTGCTCCCTAACACCTCCAGGTCCCCCATGTCACCGCTAGACCATATGGACATATTGATCATATGGACAACAACCATTTGTCACCTSAGAAGGCAGATACAATCTCTCTGCCGCGAAAAATAAGAATGAAGAAAGGTGGCACAGACTGTCTTAATGAAAACAACCATCCCCAAAASAGCAGGAACCCAGGCTCCCCTTTGCAGCGAAGTTCCTCAGCTCCRGGCAAGGTCAGATTTCAGCCCGAAGGTCAGATTTCAGGTGCAGCCCTGGGCAGGACTCAGTCCCAGACACATCACCAGTCTGGTCGTATCGCCAGGCTTGAGGGAACTGCTAAAGCCAGGCTGGTGCTGCCCCAATTACTGTTAACTGCCCCCAGGGGGGCAATGATTTGCCCTCTCCCTCCCCATAAGCTTGCTGCTCAGCCTAGGAAGAAAACTTGGTCCACATGTTTGGTAACAGGACATGGGGACAGGCAGGTGGCGAGAGGAAGGACAGACACATCCTGAAATCCCAAGCAGCTCCCTTGGCTCCAGCAGCGCCTGATCACCCAGCACCTTGTGCCAACATGAATCCAAACATTGGCATATATGGGAAAGTTGGTGCATCACCATGTTTTCTCCGATCCTGCCATAAGCAGCATCCCACCTGCTCCCTCTGCTCTAGGACAGCCAGAGCACCRTCCCTGGAGCATCTCCAAAGCACGAGACAGCGGGCAGGAACAAAGTGTCCTAGGATCCTTCACAGGGTGAAGGACCCAGCCTGGGACTCCATGGGTAGAGCTCAGCCCCCCAAAGCTCTGGTTTCATGGTGTGCCCAGACATGATGCCAAAAGAGGACCCAGGCTCTGAGCCACAGCAATAGCCTTCCCGTGTCCCCTGTCCCTTTCCCCCCATCCCATCACACTCAAAGAAAAGCAAAGTCAGGACTTACCCAAAGGGGATGGGAAAGAAGAGATCCCAGGCGAAGCGAAGGAGTGGGTGGCAAATCCCCCTTCCTTCACTCCTTCCAGCACCAGAGCTCTCCAGGGGACCTGGCACGAGGGCAGCTCAAGCGGCGTCTGCAGCCGGCTCCGTGTGTCCGTCCAGGACGGGAGCTGGAGCCCGGCGCTGCCTTTGGCTGGCGCCCGTCCCCTTGGCTTGGCTTTCCTTCTCACGGAGCTACTCCCTCCCCACCGCGGAGCCCCTGGGGGGCAAGAGAGTCCCCACGGGCGGCCGCAGGGTCCCCCTGCCACCCGCAGCACCACGGTGGCAGCGGAGGCTACTGGGGTCTCAGCACAGGGGTCCTGGGCGGCTGCCGGACACGGTGCAGAGCGCCSGAGGGGAGGATGGAGGAGGGAAAGGCGGAGGGAGCCGCGAGATGGGCTGGAGACAGAGGAGGTGCTGTTCCCTTCCCCTCCTTCCCAGACCACACAGGGACGGCAGCGCTCACAGCCGGAGGGGAAGGGGAGAGGCGGAGGGAAGGAGGGTCCAGGGATGCCCCGTCCGATTTCCTGACCAGCCCCAGCCCCAGTTAACCCCAGCGAGGAGGTGCGGGCGGCTGAGCTGCCAGGAGGGGAGGACTCCGGTCAGACAGCTCCCGGCCATGAATATTCACTACTTCCTCCGCAGGCTGCGCCGCGTTAACCATTTCCTAGGCATGAGGCAGCCGGCCGGACACACGGACCGCCGGACGGATGGACAGATGCCTTCCCCGAGAGCGGACTGCCCCCAAGAGCCTCCCTGCACCACATGCTGAGCTGGCAATGGGGGGTGATGCCCCCCAGCTGCAGCCACCCCCCAGCTTGTGACCCCCCTGGTGCCGCGGGCACACGTGTCACATGTGTCCTCAAAGAGCGATTACACGTTTTGGGTGGGAAGAGGGGACGTGCCCTCCGGCAAGGCGTGAAGCTCCAAGAGTGCTGGGAGGAACAGCCAGGACTGCAAATGCAAGTGCCTCAATGGACACTTGAGCTTCTCCTTCTTAAATAAATACAAAGTTCAAGAGTGGAAACCGCTTGTGGCCAAACCGCCAACCCCTCCTGCAGGCCACGGCTCTCCGTGTTGGCCCTCCCAGCGCTACCCGCCAAACCCAGCCCATTTGTGCAACTCCTTTCCCTCGCCACCCTGCTCACTACGAGGGATGCCAACGACCCCTGCCAGAGCCACATGGAGAGCAGGGGAGCGCTCCATTAGCGGCAGGACCATGGTGCGCGTGGCCCTGTCCCAGAGCGGGAGACACTGGATGACACACACGCACCCCGGGGCCGCCTGGCACTGCCCTGCTTGGTGCAGACCAAAATCTGCGCTGGGAATGCGCTGACCCGTCCAGGGGACTGTGGGCCAGGGCGCGAATCCACGTCCTGGTCCTGCTTGGAAGCCTGGTGAGGTTATTCCACTTTTCCTCTAACCTCTACGGCTTCATCAACCCAAAATACACAGCAAAATATTGTGCATGCATTTGCAAATATGAACTGCTTAAGGCAAGGCAAAACTGCCACTTGATTCCCCCCACAGTCTAAATTTCCCCTATTCTGGTCCATGCCCACAGGGAGCGAAGAAGAACCACATTTCCAATAAACTCCCTGGCTCAGGGTCCCTCTTGGTCCAAGCAGTGATAAGCACCAAGCTAGCAGCTTCACAAAACCCGCTTATTTTGCTTGCTGTGTTTATTAATCGGTTGTTCCCCACTTACAAAGCTCCTGGCAGCCTTGGGCACCTCACGGGGTCAGGCCGAGCGGCTCCCCCACGCYGCTGCTGACAGCACCGCCTTCCCAGAGGCAGTTCCAGCTGGACACACGTGCTTTGCCTCCGAGGACGGCTCAAAGGCACAGGGAAGGCGCTGAGCTATCGRAGCGGACAGGCCTGTTCTTCTCTCCCTGCCTAGCACGCCAGCCCTGCCAGGTACCTGCATTCCCAGCCTGTCCCAGCACTCCAACATTTTCCCTACGGGGACCAACCACAAGAAACAAGGGGAAGCTCTCCTGGTTCAATGCCCCATGGAGCCAAGTCGAGCCTCCTGGCTCCCGGCTGCTCAGGAGGAGGTGCAGGGCCGGCCTCCCCTCACCAGGCGCTCCACACCCCYGGAATCCCCATCCCAACGAGCCCTTACCTTGCGGCAGCCGGAGCGGACAACCGCGGAGAGGGGCGGGATGGGGAGGGGGAATCGGATTCCTTCGGCTTTAGTCAGCTGGTGGAGAGCAGAGGAGAGGCAGCGGCTCCCTCCCCGGGAGCCGGCCCGGGGACGCAGCCAGCCGAAGGGGGGAGCAGCAGCCCGGCACTGCCAGAGGCTTCGCCAATGGCTTTAACAGCTCCGGCCCGGCCCGGCCTGGCTGGCTGCCCCCGGAGCACTTGCCCTCCGCCTCCGTGTGCCCGGCCTGCGCACCCGGCCCCGGAGCGGCAGCCTCGGACACGTGTGATGGATGCGTCCCCCTCGGTGAGCTGCCACCCGCGGGGACAGCCACCAGCCCGTTGTGGGCACCCTGCACATCGCGGGGAGCCGCTGACGGGCACCCTGGCCAGGGAGCTGCCCCAGCCTGGGGCCGCACTCGGTTCAGGGCCCACGCTGGGTCTGGCTCTGCCTGCAATGCAGCATCCCGGYGGTGAGGGTGCCTGGAGCTCCCCAGCCCCGTTACACACCCCTCCCTGACCCGCTCCTCACCCGGCCCGGCCCAGGAGGGGTCAAGCGGGGCCGGCGCTGCACGGCAGGAGCGGCAGGAGCGGCAGGAATGGCAGGAGCGGCCGGAGCGGCGCTGCCCCTGGGACGGGGTGCGGAGAGCTCCCCATCCTGCACGCCCATGGCCGGGGCGCGGGGCCAGGCCGGGGCGCCTCCCGGCTCCGGCAGCCAGCCCGGGCGGGCGGCGCAGGCTCCCCGGGCAAGCAGGGAGCGGGCAGGTGCTCGGGAAGGATGGCGGAGCCCGGTACAGAGGGAGAAGGCACCAACACCAGCCGGGAATGTTTCACAGCCCAGGCCAACCGAGAGTGCTGCAGTCCCTGTAGGCCACGCCGGAGACCCCCGTCTCCCCCAGCAGCACCAGCACCCCGGGACGGCAGGGACGTCCTGGCCGAACGGCACCGAGGGCAGCGCGCAGGCGCCCCGGCGCAGCTCAGCCTCGCGCCAGCAGCGTTACTCAGGTGGGGATTTAGCAAGTCTCCAGCAGATGTTGGACTTGGCTAGGCCTTGACTGCCTCCGTTCCAGCGTCAGCGAGACCTTCGGCACAAAGCGGAGGCAGGGCCGGGCGGCGGGGACGGCACGGCCGGGACGTGAGAGGCAGGCCGGGCATGGGGACACGCCGGCAGAGCCAAGTGGCRGCGGATACAGGGAGCCGCTCTGCTGGGGACGCGTGCCTGGCCCCTTCACACCATTTCACACTGCCGCAGGACGGCGGTCAGCACGGAGCCCAGAGCTCCCCCTCTCCAAACCCGGGAAAACATCCCCGTGCACCCCAGGCAAACCCTAACCCCACACCCTGCACCAGCCCTGATTTGCTCAGTAAAATTCAAACAACAAATGTTCCCTTTCCAGCTGTGTCCACCCAGCTCCGTGCTACCCCAGGAAATTCTCTGCAGGGATCCTGGCTCCAGCCATGAACGCAGCAGTTCCACAGCCCACGGGACAGGGCACGGCCGCCGGGAAGCAGCGGAGGGGGAAAGGCTTCCCGCAGCTCCGCTCCCTGCCCCATGGGCACTCRGGGCTGGCCTCGCGCACCGCTCCCTGAAGGGATCCACGGATCTGTCTGACTGACAAGCTCCCTCACACTAGGGACTGCCCCAAAAACAAGGCATTTTGGACCCCAACGCTCAGACCTTGCTGGTGTCCCTCCATCGGACAGACCATGCGGTGTCTAGGCAGAGGGCTGCAGCCTCCCCTGCCCATGTCYCCACGTTGGAGAGGCAGCAGGTGCTGTGGAAGCATCCTTGGTCCYGCTCCACGTAGGAGAGGGCACATGTGAACCCCCAGGGCAGCTGAAGGGAGAGGTTCCCCCATGCCCAGCTCCCAGAGCCAACCACTCAGCCAACTCATGGCAGCCACAACTGTGAGGAGACCCCGCCATGGCGCTGGCACCAGTCCCCAGCTCGCATTGGGAAAAAGGAAGGAGGCGCAGGCGGAGCTGCAAAGTACACGGGGACACAGTTCACCCCRTGCAGCACAGGAGCGGACGGCCATGGGTCCCATCTCAGCCCTCCCTGCTCTCAATAACTGGGCTCCCCTTGCATTTGGGGAACATCTCGTGCCTGCTGGAATCGCTGCTCCAGCAGCTCGTCCCAGCCGAGACCCCTCTCTGCCAGAAAGGGAGACGGGGGCTCAATCGGCAGGGCGCTCCTATCCGATCCTGACTGTGCCGCGCACCAAGGCATCACCAACCCCAGTGGATCCCCCAGGAGCCTCTGGTTTCAGGGCCACCTTCCCTTTGGGATCACCTCGGGCCCATTGGGCACCCATTTAGCCCAGCAGCCCCTCCAAGGCTGGATGGGACCCGCGAACGGAGCCAAATCCCCCGGGGAAGGGCTCCGCAGCCCACAGCAAGGGGTGCCCAGCTGGGCACGGGGCTCGGCRGCGACGCGGAGCGAGGGGAACCCACCGGCTCGCAGGAGCTCCCGTCTTGCCGCGGCGTCTCCGGGGAGGCTTGGGCGCGGAAGGGCAGGGGCAGAGGCAGGCGCCGCAGCTGATCCCAGCCCGCGCTGCTCCCCGTGCCAGCCTCACCGCCCTCCGCCCCCGGCCGCCGCTCGCTCGCGCCTGCCGTGCCAAAAATGCGGCGTGCAATTCCCTGACCAAATAAGGCGAGAACATCCATAAACAAGGACCCCCTCGCACGGCCTCCTTTTCCGCCTCCCCGGACACCGGGGCCCCGCTGCCGGCCCCGCTGCGCCACGCGCCTTGGTGCCTCGCAGCCCTCGCCCGGCCGCCGTCCCTGGGGTGCTGGAGCAAAGGGACAGGGGAGAGCAGAGGAGGAAGGAAACAGCGCTGGGAAAGAGGGAATGCCTCAGTGCAGAGGAAAGAAGCAGGGAGCTTGAGCCCCTTTGCCATGAGCCTGTGGTGACTCTCTCCCCACTGCGGCTCCAGTGACCTCCAGCCAGGAGAGGCAAAACCCAGCAGAGCCCACAGCAGGGAATGGCAGGGAATCCTGTGGCTTCCCGTGCTCCCGACGAAGCCCCGGTGCAGGGCTGGGGACACCCACTGTCCCAAGGGCAGTCCCTGTTCCCCTTGGAGACCCACATTCAGATGTAAACACTCTGTCCCTGGGCAAAACAGTGCGGAGAGGAGCCCATCAGGACAGAGCCACTACGCACSGAGCGCAGAGGTCGGTGCTGGAGGCAGAGCAAGGTGAAACACCCACGTGTCGAGGCCTAAAGGGGTTGCCAGCCGGTGCCACCAGCTTGGAGCAGCGTCAGAGCCCGGGACGGGCCCATGCTCCAGCAGGACGTGTCCCCTTCCCCGGCTCCGCGCGGGAGCCCTGCGCCCGGGCCGCGTCCAGCCCAGACCGCTCCGCACACCCTGGCGCGCGCCCAAGAGGAGCCGCTCGGATGTAAACACTGGCGCTGCCCACCGCCGTGCCCCAGCAGCGTCTGTGCTGACAGCCGTGCCGCAGGAATGGGGTCAGCGGGCGCCCGCAGCGCCCGCCGCATAGCTGAGCACGCGCGTCACGAGCGCTCTGCTTACGGCAGGGCGCCCCACGGGACACGGCCACAAGGGACTCCTCAGCGTCCCGGCCCCCTGCTCCGGCGCGGCTGGGGACCTTGAGGCGCTCGCAGCTCCAGAGCGTCCGGGTCTGCGAGGGACCACGCAGGCTCTCCAGCACCAACAAGGTGTCTTTACCGCCTAGGGAAACTGAGGCACGGCGACATCCCGTGACTGTGCCATGCTCGCACCAACAGAACCTGGGAGACGCCATGGTCACATCTGGCCGTTMTGAGGGCCAGCTCCTGGCTCCCAAAGAGCTTTTAGTGGAGCTGGGATCCTGCCTTGGATTCCCAAAGCCCTGGGTGCAAGCGGCATGTGGAGCAGGACCAGACCCTGCTCTGAGCAAGCAGGGCTGCGAGAGCAAGAGGCTGAGCTCAAGCCAGAGAAGTCAGTAAGCGCCTCCCACCACAGCTCAGCGCCCCTCCTTGGCACCTCTTCCCAGATCCACCTCTCCAGGATGGGAACCTGCAGATAACCCCACAAGCTGCCCACAGCCCTGACCTTTCTCCAGGTGCTTGCCAGCCACGGGGGGCTCAGCCCAGGAACCTTCCGCACTGTCCTCGCGCTGGATGTTGAAGTTCTCATAGGAATCCCAGCGGATGAGYGGGTCCGATGTGTTATAGTCCACAGAGACGCTGGGCCCATTCTCCAGGTGCTCCATGCCTGGGAAGATGAGGAATTGTCAGCCAGGGGGAATGCAGAGCCAGCATGGACAGGATGAGGAAAAAAGGCAGAGAGGAGAGGCAGGCAAGGGGAAGAGGGGACAAGGAAGGAGAATCAGCATCATAGGACAGGGGAGGAGAGTCGTGTATTGACCCTTCTCCAGGATTTGGTACCCTCTGATGGCAGGAGGGATTCACTGGACCAGACGGGACAGGCAGTGCAAGGGATTTCCTGACAGACAGACAGAAAAAAGGGGACACAGCCCGGCAGAGAGGGCAGGAGGGTGTCCAGGGCAGTGAAAAGGAACAGGGAAGCTAAGGGACGGGACGGGGGAAAGCGCTTCAGTGCACACAGACACGATGCACAGAGTGGCTCGGGTTTTGGCTTCCCTACGGACACAAAGAGGGAGCCACAGCAAGGATGCCTAGTGCTGGACTTGTTTCTATTAGGGCAGGGGTCTCCATCCCCAGGTGTCCCCTCCCTCTGTCCCAGCCCATCAGGTGTCCCAGAGTGTAGCCAGGACTCCAGGGCTCACCAGGTGCTCCCAGAGCCAGGCTGGTGCCCGGCTCTAAGGACCCCACCATGGTCAGGGGACTGCAAACATCAGAGAGGGGCAGCACAGCACAGGAATGGGGCAGCAGGGTGTTGAAGGGGTGGGAAGAAGGAGGAGAAGGCGGCCGGCATCCAGCCTACCCAAGCCCCGCAGCAGTGCAGGCAGAGCCAGCCATACCTTGGATCTTCTCAGGGCCATAAGAGAACACAAATTCCACCTTCCCGTACTCAGGGAAGCGGTCATCTGTGAGAGAGAGAGCAGAGCAAAGGGACCATCTCTGCCTGTCCCTCCGACAGCATCTCAAACACGGCCCCCCAGCATGACCACCCCAAACACAAGGCGCTGCCCCAGCCAGCTCAAGAACGGGGAGCTGACACAAGACACTCCAGCAAGAGGCAGGGCCCCAGCCCTGCACAGCCCAGAGTTTGGTAGGACACAGACACTGGCAATCCCCGCAGGCAGATACCAGCATCCCAGCTCAGAAACAACCACAGGGCAAACAACTGCTCTTTATCGGTGCCAGATGTGGGCAATGAGGTGACGATACCATCACCTGTCCCTGTGGTCCCACACCCTATGGAGCACGAGCATATCCTCATGGTCCTACGCCCTATGGAGCAGGAGCGTGTTCTTCTCCTCTACCATGCCAGTGCACAAAGGTAACACCTGCGCATTGTCAAAGCCTTCCCAGCCCTGGTGCATGAGCAATAAAGGGAAAAGTTGATCCCAGGGACAGCCTGCCCAGCAGAGATGGTGCATCCAGCGTCTGTGAGATGCATTGGGGTTGCACTCCCCATCCATGGGCAGCAGCATCCGCTCCCCATCCCAGCTGTGGGATGATCTGATCCCATCAGAAGTGAAGAAGTGCGGAAGTGGGAGAAGGGAGTTAACRGGAAGAAGACGCTGCAGACACAGGCACATTTACCTCTGAACGCTTCGTCCAGATCCTCCTTGCCAAAGACAATGTCAAGGTCGTGCACGGCGCACGTGTGGAACTGCACCCGGAAAATCACATCACGGGTTGGACTGCGAAACTTCTTGTGGTAGCATTTCAGCTGTGGAGAGGAGAGGAGCAGAGACGGGCTCTGAAGGCTTGCTAACCCCTACGAGCCCCCGGAGCTTGGCAGGGGGGGAGCTCCAGGACCCCCAAGCAGAGCAGGGTGCTCTCACAGCTGCCYCGGGCTCCCTGTATGGGAAGCTGGGCTGGGGACAGGGCTCCTTACCAAGATATCACCCTTGAGGAGCAGGCCAGGYTCAATGGTGATGCAGATGCCCGTCTGGCTGTCCCCTTGCACGTTGCTGCGGAGAGGGATGGCAGGAGGACATAYGGCACAGTGCAGAGACCCGGCAGCAGGGAGCAGATGGGAGAGCTCCCTGCTGCAGCACCCATCACTGCCTCTGCCAGCCCCTTCCACCCAAAATTAGGTGGGAAAAGCCCTAAGGAAAGGCTCAAAGCATGGAAGTGCCTTCCTTGGGGATAGAGGAGGGTCCCGTCCCCCACCCCAAGAGCACCTCAATCCCAGGGGGGAGGCAGACAGGAGAGAGAAACTGAGGCACAGAGACAGTTTGGTAAGGGTGCCAAAATCCTGTGTCAGACTGAGGCTTGAGCRACAGGACTAGGTTATCACACCACCCGCCCCGCTCCCGTGTTGCAAGCAGGACAGCAAGGAAGAAGTCTTAGGGACCTCAGGTGGCTCCACTCTTCCGTGCCTCAGTTTCCCYGCTGAAGGCGCCCTCTCCCCAGCACGCCGGGGAGCCGCCTGCGAGCGGTGGCGTCAGCGTCTGGCAATCGGGGACACACACGGGGGGCGAGGGAAGAAGGGAGTTGGATTTCACAGGCAAGACAAACCTGGAGTTTATTACCAGCGTCCCATAAACAGTCTATTAAAAGCTGGAAGGTTGGGATGGCAGTAAATCTTGGCTAACAGGGACGACCAGCCAGCAGGAAAGGGAGTTCCCAATTCAGGGAATACCCCAGAGATGGGCTCAGACACAGGCAGGACGTGGGGATAGGGGACAGGGGGACACAGTCTGGGATACATCCTAAGGACTGTATCTGGAGAAACCAGTTCCTACTCTGCCTTTGACAGCAGTCACTACCAGGGTCCCAATCCTGGAGACCCAATGGGGGTGCAAACCCAATCCAGGGTGCTCATGATGGAGAAAGGCATCAGGGTAAACTGTGCGGACTTTAAACTGGGGAGGGAGGGCCCTTCCAGAAGAAAAAAATAAATAGACAATTTAAAGGGGCTCTGAGGAAGATGCTCTTCAAAACCTTTTTCCCCTATCTACTCTGTATCTCCAAGGATGGGGACATAGGCTCAGGAGCAGGCAGGTTTTACTCCAGGAAAGGAAGAAATGACACTAGGAGAGCGTATGTTGGGTGAGAGTGTTTGTGAGGGACAGGGAGACACGGGGCTTATGCCTTGATCAAAGCTCTGCTGAGGAGCTCTCCAGGAGGAGCTGCTCTTTGGCCAGAGAGAAAGAAAGGCCTCCATCCCCAGTGGAGGGAGAGGTGTCCYCCATCCCTTGCTCCCCGCCTGGGACAACCAGCCCCAGGCTCCCTCTGCTGATACACAGAGTCACTACAGCCCTCCCAGCACCAGGGTCCAGTCCAGCCCGCTATAGCCCAGCACGGCCAGGCATTCCCTCCAAGGAAGCTGCATCCCCCCTTTCAATTCCCACCAGCCCCAGCACAAGGGGACCCCCAGGGACTTGGCCCTGAATCTCCATCTGGCCCCTCACAAAAGCCCCCCATGAGCTGCGTGGCAAGCCCAGGGCCCCRTGCAGAGAGGAGATAGTTACTAGATCCCCGAGGTGTAGACGGGCTGCATGGCCTGGTAGATTTTCAGGAAGGGCCGACAACCTGGAAGACATCAATGAAGGGAGAGAAGGCGCCTTGTTAGCCAGCAGGGCGGAGGGGCCAGGGCAGGGATTAGTCACGGGGTAGAAATCCAAACAGCGCAGGAGCCAAGGCAAACAGCCGCTCCCGCCCGGCCAGGCAGCCGCGGGAGCCGAGGGAGCCAGCTGCGGGCAACATCTGGAACAGCATCGGGAGCCGCCACGGGCTGCTCCCCGACCCCACAGGGCTGCAAAGGGGGAAGCCAGGACCAGGTCCWGTGCCAAAGGTGAGGGAGGTAGGACAGAGCAAAGAGCCTCCTCGCGCTGCCGCTCGGACTGCTGCGTTGCAAACCCCACACAGGAGCAGTGCTGCAAGGGGAGGTGTCTCTGTGGAAAAAGGCTCATGCCCTGCTGCTAGGRGTAATCAGTCCCAGAGGTGGAAAGGGTGGAAAGAATTCAAATTCCCCCCCAAAAAAATGGAAAAAAAAAMCCACAAAAACAAACAACCCTCTTAGCAAACAAGCAGTCCACCAGCATGGGGTAGTGCTTAGGGCATGGGAACCAGAGCAGAGGGAAGGCTCGGGGGCACCTACCGCCTTTGGACTCGAAGTTGGGGATGCCATGCATGATGACGTGGTGGAGGAAGAGAGGTTTGTTGTTCATCTTAATAGTGCCGGAGAGGAGGCCGCTGAAGTAATGGATGTACCTAGAGCAGGGACAGGCAGRTGAGGGCAGCACCCACCCTGCAGCACGCCCATCAGCTCGCACCCAACCGCCCTGCAGAGCCCCGCTACACTTTGGCCAAGGGGGAAAAAACAAGGCTGTGTGACCCACCTCTTCTGCGAGGGCTGTCCCACCGGCACCACCTTGTCCTCGTAGAAGCGCTTCATGGCAAACCTGTCCAGAGCCTGGTCCTCGCTGCAGGAACGAGAGAGCACGTGAGGGGAATGAAGGAAGCTTTGGCACCGAGCACCACCCTGGGCTGCAGCAGGGGCGGCAGGAGAGTGGCCCAGGTGGGTGGAGGGCTGCAGGGAGAGAGGCAGCCCTGGGCTCCATCTCACCTGGCTGAGATGTTGCTGTAGTGCATGTAGGCAGCCACCACAACGCCCAGCCGGCCGCGATTGCCCTGCAGAGGGGCAAACAGCAAAGGGGTGTCATTCGGGCGGTAACGTGCGTGAGCACCCAGGCCACCCTGCACACACACACACTGCACACAGCAGCTCCTACGTGCACACACCACGCGCATGCCAAGCTCTGCCTACACCCACAACAGCCCCTGCACACAAACACTGCACACGTGCTGACCCCCTGCATCCGTCTGACCCACTGCATCCGTCTGACCCCCTGCATCCGTCACAGCAGCCACTTCCATACACATCAAAACACATACTATGCACCCAGCGAGCCCATGGAGRCACTGAGCCATGTGCAATTCCAACCCTATAGGCCACACACAGCCCCTGACCCCATATCCACACACCATTCTCAGGTGCACCCCAAGCCCTGCACGCACACACCAAACTGAACAGATTCCCTGCTCCTGACAACCCATGTAGCTGCTCAGCTTTGTCCTCGCTCCCCACCAATGTCCTCTGGCTCCCCATCCTCCTGCACCCCTGGGGCGGGACGGGGCCCAGGGCACCTTGTTGTGCAGCACCACCACGTTGTGAGCCGCCGCGTTGAGCCACGTGTCCATGGCTTTGCAAATGCTGCAGATCTTCTCCAGCGCAGGGGTGTGCAGGTCAGGCCAGCCGAAATCCAGCACCTTTGCACAAAGGGGAGCAGCAGGGGTGGGGGGTCATGTCCGTGCCTTGTTCTGACCCCRCCAGAGCCCCTTGGCCTACTGGTTTGCCAAGCTCAGAGCAGGTACCCAGGGTGGGCAAAGCAGAGAAATGCCACCACACTGCCCTGAAAGGCCCCTCAAAGCCTCTCCACCAAATCTGCACCCCACTGCCCAGACCCCAGCCGAGMAGGAGGAAGGTGAGGCCCAGATCTCAGTCCCCTGTGGGTCACTCACAGCTTGGCTGCCCAGAACTCCCCCACGTTTGCCTGGACAGGAATGATGATTTAGTGGGAATCAAGGGGAAGTCACCAGGAGGGTCCCAACAGCTAAGAYTAGGCCAGCTGGCATCGAGCTGAGGCCTGGCAAACTCATCAGGAAGTCCCGTGCTTCCAGAAGGCTGCCAACCCCCTGGCCCTACACCAGCGGGGAGCAGTAAACAGTGGATGTTCCTCCCTGGGCAGCTTGCAAGGGGGAGCACAGCCTAGAGGCAGCTCTAGCCCCCCTTTCCTGTGCCCTCCACCCCATTCTCCCAGCTTCCCTGCTCGCCACAAGCGCAACCCACCTTGGGATGGAGTTTGTTGATGTCATGTCTGCGCTCGGAGAGATTGAAAAGCTGTGGGCAAGAGAAAAGCCAGTGTCAGGGGACACCGTCCTCCCCTGGCCACTGTCACCTTTCCACTCCTTGCTCACCCCAAAGCCTCCCCAAATCCCCATGAGAAGCTTCCTGGGGCATGTTCACATGGGGAATKCCTTGCCACAGAGCACCACAGCCACCCAAAATTCCCGAAGTCCAAGATAAACTGGGAAATTTCAAGGAAAAAAAAATGCATTTGTGCCGGTGCAAAGACCCGCTCTGTGGCTTGGAGACCAGCAGAAGGGGAGGATGCAGGATGCCATCCCCAACAGCGCCCTGTCCCCAGCCTCGCAGCACGGGCTGCGTCCCTCACCACGTAGCTGTCCCCGTGCTTGGATCTCAGCATGTGGGCCACGTCGCGGAGGTTGCTGCGGAAGCCGTGCTCCTCGGCGGCGCTCGGGAAGGACACGGCGATGATCCGCTCCGTGATGTAGACCAGGTCCAGCTCGCAGCTGCTCTCCATGGCCACGCTCGTGCTCCTGAGCAACAGAGGCACCGTGAGCAGGATGCAGCGTTGGCAGGGGCACAGGGGTGGCCATCCCAGTCGGGCACAGCGTCGGGTTAGGTGACTCGGGCTGCGACACGTGGGGACGCACAGCAGCGCGTGGCAACCTACAGTCTTTCCTGATCCAAGCGCAGGCTACAGACGCTGTTGCCCTGGCCTTGGAGGACAACCTACCTCCAGACAGCCCTGTCAAGGTGCAGCTTTGGGGACCCCAGGGTGGGGACAGTGTGTTGGCAGCCAAACTGGCCCATATGCAGACGGGATGCATCAGGTGGGGCCAGGCAGGGCATGGCTTGTCACCACAGGGGGAAACTGAGTCACAGAAGCCTCCTGCCTGCAGCAGAGCGGGACACAAGCCACCCCGTGTGCAGCCCCCTACTCTGAGCTCCAGCCTGCAGCAACATCACCCCATGGTTTGCTGGGTGTCCCCGGCAGCAGAGGAGCATGGAGCTGCTGTCCCGGGACAAGGACRGGCTGAGGTTTACCTGGATGTTTTGCAGCGTGACTGCCCGCTCCTGGGGGATTTGGAGGCATCCTAGAGGAGGAGAGGAAAAACGAGTCACTGCCACAGAAGCCAGCCAGCGGCCAGCACCGTCACCAGCTTCACCATCCCTCCTTGTCCCTAAATCCCACACGCCACCCCTCCAGTGGTTCCCACAGCAGCGTGGACAGACCACATCGGAAAGGAACCTTTCCGCTCGCCTTTCCTGCCCCTCTCCGACCATGCAGACATGGTTGTGCCCACAAACACGGCACAAGCTGCCAGCTGTCACGACAGCACCTAGCGTGACAAGAGCCCTGGCAGAGCCCGGCGTCACGGCGCTGCTGCGGCATCTCCTCCCCGCGCACCACAGCATCCCCAGAGCGTCGCTGTCCCCACAGCACACCGTGCTCCTGCCGAGCATCCTGGCAGCACCGAACACCCCGGTGATGCTGCCCTTCTCCTACAGCCACGGCAGGGACCAGGCCCAGCTGCCACAGCTCAGGGTTGGCACCACCACATAGCGCCTTTGCGGAGGGCACGGCTTGCAGGGAGACAGTCCCAAGCACGTCTCGAATTCCTCGGGTCTCAGCCAGCTGTTGCGCACGCACACCTGGGCCTGACAGAGCAGCTTTGTGCCTGCCTGGCACCGGCAGAAGGGGCAGGTTACGGCCTGGCAAGGCAGGCAGCGAGGCGCACGGCTCGCCGCGGCYGCAGCCAGCGCCGCGAGGAAACGCCTGAGCGCGCGGAGCAGGAAACTGCTATTTACGCATGTTCCCCGGCCTCGAGAATTTCATCTGCAGCCGGTTTGTTCGCTGACTTTGTGACCTCAGCCGAAAAACAAAGCTGGGTTTCCAAAAAAAACCGCTGAGGGAAAACACACTCACACCTCATTAGTTTTAGTATCTCCAGCTAACAAGCGGGAGTCATTTAAAGGCTCGTCTTGCGTGAGCAGCACACCCCAATCCTCCTGAAGGATCCAATCCTGGTTAAACCAGGTACGTGCTTCCCAGCCAGCTCCCTTTTCCATTCGCAGAGCAGCCCTGGAGCTGCAAGACTTGCTGCAGCGGCAGTGAATCTTGCAACCAGCAAACACGGTGGGAGATTTCCACGACATCCTTCCCCCCCATCTCACTCGTCATGGTCCCCAGCTCCGCGTTCGACTATCCCGTGCGCAGCCAGTGTGACCTGCAGCGGTGGCTCCCGCTTTCCCCCCGCCTCACGTTGCCCTGCCAAGGTCAGGCTGCCCAGCGGAGCAGAGCCGTGAGGCAGCGGAGCTCGGCAGCGCCGGCGGGGCCGATCCCGCCGGGATCCTCCCAGGCCAACAGCCTCCCTGCCCAAGCGAGAGCCGTGCCGGGTGCTCATAAGAAGGGGGCCAGATGCCAGCAATGTTCCCCCTTCCCTATGGTGCCCCAAAGCCCCTGCTCAGCCCAGAGGTCCCCCGGACAGTTGTGAGCSAAAAATGAGTTAAAAAGGAGCAAAAAGGGAAGGCAACACTGCCCCAGGCAGRGCTGGGATACTCGGAGACAACAGAGCAACCCTAAACCCAAGCACAGGCTAGTCCTATGTGGTGCCCAGGAGCGGCTCCCTGCGGGGCTCCGCTCTGCACTGGGCACATGTGGGGTCACCAACACGTCCCTGTCCACCGAGTGGAGCCCCACAAGCCCCAAGTGGCCGCAGCAGGCTCCGGAGCGGCACCCTCGCATGGCAGAGATGCGGAGGGGACCTGGCAGGGCTGCCCTGTGCCCGGGGAAGCAGCGGCAGCGCCGCGCGAGCCGGGCTGGCACGCAGGGCCCCGCTCGGCGGCACCAGCCGCCCTGCGGGACGCGCCAGCCACGCTCGCCCTACCTTGCCCGCGGCGAGACCCTTGCGGAGCCACTTCCAGGGCATGGCGGCCCCGCTCCCCGGCGCCGGCGGGCTGCTCCAAGCGCCCGGGCTGAGCCATGCGGCCGTCCCGCCGCCGCCCGCGCTAACCGCAGCCGGCGGCGCGAGGAAGCGCCAGGCAGCGATGAGCTGATAGCGGGAAGCGCCCGCGCGGTTAGACACTGCTGCCCGCCGGAGGTGCTGCAAGGATCCCCTCCGGAGCAGTCCCCGAGAGGGTCCCCCAAAGCTGGGTATCCCCAGTCCGGTCTGGCACAGGGAAGGTTGGGCCAGGCTGGTCCCAGCCTCAGTTCTGACCAGTGTCAGTGATTTGAGGGGAAAGATCCGTGCAGAGCTAGCAGCCTTTGATGTCCCAGSCCAGGGCAGCTCGGCATGTCCCCAGGCTCTAGGCACTGTCTGAACAGCACAGGTCCCTTCTGGCTCCGGGCAGGGCAATCTTAGTCACAAGACAGGACAGAGAATTATCAGAGATGCCCCGAAAAGACAGCGACGGCASTAAAGCGGGTCCCTGACACCCCACTGCATTTTCCACCTCTTAATGTCCTTCATCCACCTTGGAGATGGCCAGAAACATGCCTGGGCTGCCAAAGGCATGGAGCAATGCTGGTGCCTGGGCAAGGAAGGCTCTCAGCTGCTCCTCCTCCCAGGAGCCATGTCCCTGCATCCCGGCTGGGACGTGCTCCGTCCCTCCGGTCCCAGCCCCGGTGCGCACGGACGCCCGGTGAGCGGCAGCGGGGCAAGGCGAAGCCGGCTGCGTTGACTTTGGCAGGGCGTTTGTCTACACTGTCTTAGCAGCTTCATGTCCCGGGATTAAATAACATCTCCCCAGCTCCTGGACAGGAAAGCCGGCTTTGCAGCAAAAGCCCGAGCCTCCTGCAGGTCCCTGTTGGGCTCCGGCACTGCCTCTTCCAGCCACCCTGGGCAATTCCCTCAGCCCTCAGCTCAGCCAGGGATGTTTGCTGGGAGTCTGGAGAGTCTTGCCAGGGTTGGGGGACCACAAGGGTCTCAAAAGAGGCAGATTGAGGGACTTAGGCTGCAGGGGTCCCTTGGGGGCTTGTGGCAATGAAATGGGCACAAATGACTCCCAGTAACATGTCGAGGTTGAGACYGGCCCTCCCGGCAACGGCCCAGGGGCGATCACTTACCGGGGTGTCTACCTGCTTCGTGCTGCTCTCCCCCTGGGATGGCTGCGGGCAGACAGGCGAGAGGAAGGAGAGGGCAAGAAAAGGGAGCGGGAAAGAGGGRGAGAGAGAGAGAGATTGAGAGACGCACACACAAACAGCGCAGGCTGGGTTCAAAAGCTCCCCCTGGCTATTCCTGGCCCTTCCTAGGAAATGCTCCATGGCTCCACTTCCTTCCCTGCCCAGGTCCCCATGGGAAGGATGTGACCATTCTTCCTAAAGGTCGGGAATCCCTCGAAACCCAAGCACTGGAGTGCCACTCGGGTACCTAAGGCATTGCCGTGGGACCCTGCATCCACTGCACTATGGGCTGCCAGCGCTCCCGGGATCCCTCTGGATCCTCCCTGCCAGGCTCATGGCCATGTCCCCAGACCCCAAAAGGCTGCAAGGGAGGCCTCAAATCCTCCCTGTTTGATGCATCCTGTGTCCCTGCTCCAGGCGGCAGGGTCCAGAGCACTGCGCTGATTTGCAGCAAGGGGAGCAGCCCCCGGCTGGGGCCGCGTCCCTCGCAGGGCGCCGGGTGCTGCAGGACACGGAGCGCCTCGGTAAACAAGCGAGCGCGTCCCCACACCCAGCGGGGCCGCTGCCAGACMCAGCTCCTGCAGATAAACCCAGTTCCCCCAGGACGTGCAAACATCCCGGGCTTCTAACCTCAGCCCCGTGGCCACGGACAGACACTGCGAGAGGAGACAGGGGGTCCGAGGTGCTTGAAAAAGGGGCAAATGTGGTGAAATGTCTCCTGGGGGGACGGAGAGCATTGAAAAGGTGTTGGGGACAGGAATAAACCTCTCCATGTGGGGCAGAGCAACCAGACCTCAAATTTCGGGAGCAGGAGATGCCCCTGGAAGGCTYGGGGAGTGGCACAGCTGTGGGATCGGGGGTCTCGGCACAGGGGGATGCAGGGGACCCAGAGACCCGGCTGTGCCCTCCCRTTCCCACGCCCGGAGCCGGGCGAGCGGGGCGGGAGCTGCCGTTTCCAGCCCGCAGGACAGCGCAGACCCCTTTGGGTTTCCTCCCGCAGCCGCAGTAACGGTCCCCGCTCGCAGCCAACACGTTTTTGCTGGCGATAAGCGTCACGGGGCGCGCACGGGGCCGGCGGGCACGGGGTGCGCGCGGAGATTAGCAGGGCCGCGCGCTCCCGCAAGTGTCCTGGCAGCACCGAGAGCTTTCAAGGGCAAAAAGGAGCCCAAATGGGGACGCAGAAGCACCCCGTTTAGTGCCGGCTCTCGGGTGCCCAGCGCTGGTCGTGCACGGGGCACAGTGGCCCCTCGTCCCAGCGCTGCCAGGCTGCTGGCAGCCAAGGCGGGAGCCCAAATCCCGCCGGAGGCTCCGCTCCCCGGCGCCTGCCCCAGCACGCGCAGGCCTTGGCACACGCCTGGGGCAAGAACGGGCAGCCGCGTGGCGCCCCAAGGCTGCCCCACTGCCCTGCCAGCCCCACTGCGCCCCATGGAGCCAGCTGCCCCATAGCCGCGTGGGCAGAGCCCAGCCCCACGCAGGGAGGCACAGCGAGCGCCCCACGGCCCCAGCGCTGCCCAGCTGCTTTCCCCATTGCCTCCGTCTGGAAAGGATGGGCTGGGAAGGGCCACACGTTACCCCAGAGGCTCCCCGGCCTYCGTCCAGCCCCGCGCGCTTCCGGCCACTTGTTAAAGATCCCCAGGAGGGACAAAACGAGGGGGGCCACAATAACAAGGGACGCTAACGTGCGGCCTCGCGCACCCACAGCCAAAGGGACATCTGCTCGAGCCATCTCCGGGCACGCAAGAAACCGCCCTGGCTCCAGCTCAGGGACGGGGACGTCAGCGCCCTCAGCTGCAGGGGACACCAGGGCTGAACGGGGTCCTGCCCTGTCCTGTCCAAGGGAAGCACAAAGCCTCTTCTCCCACACAGTCCCAGCTCCAGGAGTCTGGGGCAGCTGCGCTGACCTGCTCACGCTGCACAGACAGGGGCACAGCACCAAAATCTGGCTGTGACGTTAACCCCCCGACAGGGCCGCTTTTTGAGGGGACGCCCCGACTGACACCCTGCACCCCAAATGCCAGCGCAGAGCCGGGCGCAGGGCCAGGGCGTCACTCACCAGCTCATAGTTGACCGGCGGCGAGCACGGGGTTGGGGCCTGCAAGAAAGCAGAAAAAGGGCGAAAATTAGTCCAAGAATTAGAGCAGCAAGCAGAGAGCAGGGCAAGGGGCCTGGCTGCTGCATCGCCCATGCAAGCCGTGGGCCAGCAGCAGGAAGGGGCAGGGGTGGGCACCTGGGGCCACCTCGGGCCTGCCTCCCAAGGAGCTGGATGGGCTCCTCCAGTGCCACCAAAGTTGGGCTGACAGCCCCGGGCAGCCCCAGCCCCGCACGGGGCACCCGGGCACGGCGGCAGCCTGGTGATGCCAGCAACAAACCCCAGCTCCTGGAACAAAACCCTGCCCGGCCTCGTGAGCTCCTCTGCAGACGCCAGCTGAACAGCTCAGCTATTGTTACCTTAATTGCCAGGAGCAATTACTGACAATTAACCTTGGGTTTTGCGTGCACCCCAGTCCACTGCGGAGCAGCAGCGTGCCAGGCTGAGAGCGGCAGTGCTCCGGGTTTGGGGGCACCAGGAACGGCTGCGACAGCCTCAGGGTCCTGAGAAGCTGATGACAGCCCAGGGCTGAGACCCAGCACAGCTCCCATGTGTGTCCCCATGGGGGGGCTCTCCAAGCTTCCCAAGCCCACCCCATCCCAGCCTGGGCACGGTGGTGCCCGAAGCCGCGYGGCCGCCCGGCCGCGCCGATCCCGCCTCCGTGTTTTGCTCAGGAGTTCCTCCTCCTCCTCCCGCTCCCTTCCCCTGCGCGTTATTATTATGATTTTATTCTAATGCAGAAACGCTTCCATAAAAGGCCCCTTTCCCTGCCCCGCGGCGCTGGCCCCGCGCCAGCCTCCCTGGAATGTTCTCCGGCGGCGAGCAGCGGCGGCCGGGCCAGCGAGCCCCGCGCGAGCCCCACGCGCCCCCGCACACCGCTCACGCCGCCCCCACGGGCCCCACGGCGCCGCCCTGGGCAGCGCCTCCAGGATGCTCCAAATCCACGAGGACACTCAAAAAAGACCCCGGGAAAGAAGCTCCGTGAGCCCAGGGGCCACCAAGCCCTGGTTCCGGGGACYGGTGACGCTGCTCAGTCTGCTCCTTGGGACACGAAGGTCCAGGAGCAAAGCGGGACCCGTGCCCAGCTCCTGCAGCTGGGGCTCCAGCTCTCTGCACCAGGAGCCTTGGATGCTCCTGCAGCTGCAGAAGCACAAGGCTGAGTTCCCATGGCTGTCGCTTCCTACCCTGGTGGATTCTCTTAGGTCTAATATGGTGTTGTGCTCACCAGATGCCTCTGCTCCACTTCACGATAAACAGTAACACAGGCTGCACGTCTCTCTTCTCAGAAAGGCAATTTGAGGAAACTTTGGGGAACTTAACGCTTTTTAAAGTTTTTTGCCCTCTCTCAAGTTTGGCAAAAATTAGCCACTGTGTTCAGAGATGAGGGAAGGCCCTGACCCACAGCGCACCCATAGCGGGCTCGCACCCAGCTGTGCAAGAGCGGGAGGAAAAGGCAGCCGGGGGCTTCAGCCTGTCCTGGCATGGGGGAGCCCAGCTCTCCCGTGCCCTTGCCAGGCCCTGCGGATCACCAAGGTGGCCCAGCACCCGAGGGGACCCCGAAACCCACCGCAGTGGTGCTGCCCTGCACCACAGCGGTGCACATGGGGTGACAGGGGCACCGAGGCCACGGCAGGGCTCAGGGACCCCCTGCTCACTGGTGGCTGCGCTCTGCCCCTTCCTCCATCGCTCCATAGGGAGGAGCTGGAGGCACCTGAACCCCGCCGAGTCACCAATTCCCCATCCCTGCCAGGGCGGGAGCGTGCCGGGCACCGAGGGCACCGGCGGGTACCACCAGCGCCGCATGCGTGGGGCAGGCGAGACCCCCGGCATCCCCGGCCTCCCCCGGCCGCCCCATCGCAACGGAGCAGGAGCTCGGGGCCGGGGCCGCTGCGGAGGCTCCGGGAGCACCTGCCCGGCGGCGGCCCCGCACACACAGCGCCCTTTCTTCTCCCGCGCGGTGTTTGCATTCCTGCCGCCCGGCTCCCGCCGCCGCGACCCCTGCGCCCGCGGCCCTGCCCAGGAATGCGCGGAACGAGGCGCCGCGGCAGCGCCACGGCCCCGCCGCCCCCCACGGCCCCAGCGCCCCCTGGACCCCCCACGGCGCTGCCTGCGCCGGGGCCCGTTGCACCCAACTCCCCCGTTCCCGGGTGTCCCCGGCTGCTCCCAGTGCCCGGGCTCCACGGCCCCATCGCTCCCACGGGACAACCCAGAAGCTGCTCCCTGTGAACATGGATTTTGCTTAAATGTGGAAGTGAACCAGCAAAACCCACACAGCCCCGTTTCCACGTGAGTTCATAACTGCTGCTGTGGGCCTCTGTGGACTCTCTGATGTCTTGTAAAGGGTTGGGCACACACCACAGCCTTCCCTTTCCTGATGGAAAAGGAATAACCATACAGCCAAGCTCAAGCACCTGGAAGGTCCCTCCGAAGTCAGGACTCTCCCAAGCCCCCCAATGCCTCCCCACGTCACAGCAAGTCATCTGGAGCRACCCCTCGGCACCAGGCTGCCTCCCATGGCCTCAGGTGGGACCTGCCCAGCCCGGGTGGCCTCCAGGCGCTCCGCAGCACCGACCTCGGCCGAAGGGCCCGTGCCGGGGAGCAGCGGGGCCCGTCGGGCGCCGGGCGCACTCGGCACCGYGGCTCCTCCCGGCCGGGCCAGGGCCAGGGCCAGGGCGAGGCGAGCGCTGGCCCGCGGCCCGGCTGCCGGTGGGTTGCACAGGCCCCTCTCTGACGCATATCCCTTCCTTTGGGTGGCAGGTTTTGTTTTTCCCTTCCCCAGGAGCTCCGATAAACATTCCTGAGCTGTCCAGTATCCGGGCGGGCGCTGACCCTTGCRACGCCGGCAGCGGCAGCGCGGCCCCGCGAGCCCTCGCGTGAATCCCGACACGCTCCAGCCGCACAAAAAGCGCATCCCGCCATGGCCAAGAGGCAGAGCAGACCCGGAGCTGCCACAGGGGAGGCAGGAGAACAGCCTGGAGGCGGCTCCCGACCCACAGGAGCATCCCGCAAATGCGGGGAGATGCACCGGCCAAAAGGGACCCCCCTCCRGGCCACATGTGGGGCGGAAAGGTCGGCCCCCCGCCCCGGCCCCATGGGCTCAGACATTGCCCTCCCGGCCCCAGGAGGATCCCCAAGGAGAGGAGCAAGGCAYCCGAACACCCTCAGTGCTTGTGACCCACAGAAATGGGTACAGAGGGACAGGGAGTGGGAGCAGGAGCCTGACGAAACCGTCCYGACGAGCGGAAAACTCAGTTGCCAAAGAGGATGGTGACTCAGGGGCACACTCGGTGCCCAGCGGGACGAGCTGGGGTGGCACCGAGAGGCTGCATGGTGAGAGGCCAGCTCCATTCCCCGAGCCCGCCCCACGCCACCGCAGCCCCGAGTCCCCTTTTGCACAGCCCCACGCCACCCCACGGGACGTCCCAGCTGGGCCATGCGTCACCTCCCCAGGCTGCCCCGCTGCTTTCTGCTCCCTCTGAGACCCTGCCACAGCCTCACATCTCCTGTTGGTGCAACCAGCCGCTCGGGGGAGGCCAGCCCGGTTCCCGGCTCGTGCCCCCCGGCACGGCGGCCGCACGGAGCCCCTCGGCCCGCCTTGCACAAGGGGTCCCGGGGAGCCGCAGCCCGCGGGGCGCTCTGGCCGCCACGGGGTGACTCAGGAGCCGGCTGCAGCTCAGAGGTCTTGCGGCCTCCCAGGCTCCGCGCGCACCCGCTGCCTGGCCAGGGCGGCCGCGCCGCTCCAGCCGCCCGCGCACGCCGCCACCATCCCCCTGGGAACCCCCCGGCGGGACCCCCAGGAAACGCAGGAGGAGCCCAGGCGGATTGCAGCGGCGYGGGGCAGGGCAGAGCAGGGCGCCGCGGAGCCGCCGTGTCCGGCAGCGCCTCGGCGGCAGCCTGCGCTCGCRCTGACACGGGGCGCCTGGTGAAGCTCACGGCGGGACGTGTCCCGCGCCGCGCGCCCCGGCACGCAGCCCCCCCGCTCCCTAAYGCCACCCTCCATGTGGATGCAATGCCGGGCGGGAGCCACCCCGCGCCTGTGCTAAGAGAGTCCCCAGAGTGTCCCCAGCRCCGTTCCCAGGCACTTGGATAGCTCGCAGGCGGATGGCACCGTGCAGCCGCGCACAGGCCCGTGGCCGCCTGCAGCGCCAAGGAGCCTCCCTTGCCTTGTGCAATGGGGGTCCCGGGCACCCCACGCACCCCGTGCCCCACGGCGCGCAGCCAGGACGGCTCGCGGGGCCCTGGGCTCCCCCAGCCCTGCGCCGCCCTCCCGAAACACCTCGGGGCRACCTGCTGGGGGCCCTGCCCGCCAGGAACGCGGCAGCAGGGCAGGCCAGCGCCGCGCGGCCCTGCACATGGGGCGGGAGATACGGCGAGGGAGGGCTGCCCCACGCCCCGGGCTGCCCCCGGCACCCCAGCACCAGCGCAGGGCCCATTCAGAGCCCCCTTGCCAGCCGGGGATGCGGGACAGACACAAGCGGGATGGTTCGGACCCAGCGGGATGGTTCGGACCCAGCGGGTGGTTCGGACCGGCCGGGACGCGGGGCTGCCAGGACAGGAGCCGTCGCAGCCAGGAGGGCCCGAACGAGGAAGACAGCGCGCAGGGGAGCTGCAGGGCCTCCGRCTCCGACTGGTTTTGATGGAACCAGTGGCACCAAAATAGCCCCGGTTTCAACCCAAATAAGGGCAGCTCCTGGCTCCGAACCGGCTTGAGCAATCGCCCCGTCGGCTGCAGTGGCTGCACTGCGGGAAGGGGGAGCGTCACCCCTGTCCCTGGGTGTATTTGGGGGAAAGGGAGCTCTGGGGAGGGCGGTCAGGGGCAGAGGTGTCTCCGCGTGCCGGGGCGTGGGGCTCGGGACAGGGCGGCCGCCCTCGCCGGGGCCTCCCCGTGCGCGCGGGGTCGGCGCGGGGCAGGGACGCGCCGCGCTCCAGCACCTAAAAAGGCAACGTTCCCAGGCACCCGCCCGGCCCGGCGGCCAGCGCGGGCCTGGCTCCGGCCCCAGCCCAGCCCGGAGCCCGCGGAGGCTGCCGGCCCGGCACACGCCAACACCCCTCCATCCATCCATCCCTCCCTCCATCCCTCCATCCCTCCATCCATCCCTCCCTCCATCCCTCCATCCCTCCATCCATCCCTTCCTCCATCCCTCCATCCATCCTTCCATCCATCCATCCATCCATCCATCCCTCCATCCCTCCCTGCCTGCCTCCAACCACCCATCCCTCCCTCCATCCATCCCGATGGAGCCGCCCCAGCCCCACTGCCCCCTGCGCTGCTGCTGCAGCCCCCCGCGTGCAGTCGGCCAGGGCAGCCCCGGCCCCGCTCCCCGATGGTCCCTGTGGGTCTGGATCAGGAGTCTGGATCACAATTGGGCCATGCCTCGATCCTGGCACCTGATTGGTCGGTGCATGGATCCTAAGGGGATCGGTCCATGCCTGGATTCTGGCACGGCATTGGTCAATGTGTGGATTCCAGCAGGCGATTGGGCAGCGCATGGATTCTCAGAAGGGGATTGGACAGAGTGGGGATTCCCATGTGGGGCTGGGCAGGGCTCCAGCGGGCAGGAGGGCGGCGTGGGGCAGGTCTGAGGCGCAGCTTCGCTCCAGCGGCCCGGACCCGGCGCGGGACCCTGCAGCGGCACGAGGGGCCCTGCACCCTGCCCAGCGGCACCGAGCGCCCTGCCCTTCCTGCGGCACGGGCCGCTCGGCACAGGCCGCTCACGGCTGCAGTTCTAAGCCGTGACGGGTCTGTCCACTCGGGACCCACCCGTGGGCTCCAGGGCAGGTCACCGGGCCGGGTGGCACCGGGCAGGGGGTGCGAGGCCACCTGCACGCAGCAGGGCTGGATGCGAGGGCCGGCCATGCACGGTGGGCACTGCCTGTGCTGGGCTTGGCGGCTCCGCGCTGGGCACAGGGACCCCCCAGCACAGGCCCATAGCGCAGCCRGGGGGCAGCTCTAGGATGCAGAGACCCCCCCAAACCCACCAGCTGTGGGGACACGGGCGGCTCCCCAAGGGGACCCCAGCACCCCAAAACCTGGCGTGCTGCAGCCACCAAGCCAGGTGCCACCCAGCACCCCGCATAGGCACCCCAGGAGCACCACAACCCTCAGCCCTGCCCCATGCACCCCAGCTGCCCCACAGCAGCCCCACAGCGTGGGGCAGGCATCACAGGGCACGTCCCTGACCCGCTGGCCGGCAGTGGCCGGCAGTGCCCGGCCGCCCCGGGCGGGCGCAGCGGCGGCGCGCRCCGCACCGCGCAGCACTTTTCTTTTTGTTGTTTTCCCCTTAAAACCAGAAGGGCCGATGCCTCACTCGGCGTTTCCTCTCCTAGGAGCACAGCCTAAAAACATCTGCGCAGGGACCTGCCCTGGCGGATTTAACCCTGTGGGTCCCGGCCGCGCTGCCCGGCGCCCGCGCTGGCCCCAGCCGAGATTGGAGCACCSGGCTCCGCTCTGGGGCTGCTCAACACCAACACTCATTAACCAGGTTTAACCATTGACTCGSGCCGAGGGGGCGGCGCGGGGTTAACCCCTGGGCTGCCGCAGCCCCCCCGCCCGGCTGGGCTCTCCAGACACAYGGACACAGGGACACAGGGACACGGCCCGTCCGCAGGGACACGGCTGCAAGGGTCCCCTTCCCCGCACAGCCCGGCCTCCCCTGGGACAGACCGTTCCGCGCGGGAGGGTGGCGCAGAGCCCGACGCGTGTCGGTGTCCCCATGGGGACACCCCACAGGCCTCCTCCCAAACGGGGTGCAGGGGAGGGCGCGGGGGGCACAGCCCCCCTGCAGCACGCAGGGAAGCAGGCCYGACCCCCACCTCAAAACCTGCCCCCCTGCAAAGGGCACCCCCCACTGGCACCCACACGTGGGCAGCCCCCGGACGGGGGACAGGGGGATCCCATTGGAACGTGCCAACCTCACCGCCCGGATGCGACCCCCAGCATGTGCCACCCCAGGGGGCTGCCGCCCCACACCGCATGTGTCCCCCCCGCCGGGGGACCCCCGTGCCCTTCCYGCCCAGCGGTACCTGGTTCATGACGCTCCCGAAATCCATCCGGGCTCTCTCCTGCCTACATCCGAGGGGGAGGGCGCCGCGGGCCGGCCRGGCCGGGGGGCGCGCGGGGGGCAGTGGCCGGGGTGCAGGCGGGAGCCCAGCGTGGCCCGGGCGGGCAGGCGTCAAGGCGGACTGCGGGCGGCCGCCCCCTCCCTCCCCGGCACCGGCCTCGGGAAGGAAGGAAGGAAGGAGGGAGGGAGGGAGGAGGCAGGGCAGGGAAGGAGGGGGAGAGCCCGAGGGCTCCGCTCCCCGCGCGCAGGACCCCGCGGGCTCCCGCCGGCCCCCCTCGCCCCTCGGCACCCCCAGGGCCGCCCGGGGGCCGCTGCTGGGGAGCCGGGGGGCCGCGCGGCGAGGGGGGTGCGGGGAGGAGGGGGGGTCCCGGGTGGCTTTTCCCGCCGCCGCCCTCCCTCCCCTCGCTCCCTCGCTCCCTTTCTTCTCCTCTCGCCTCTCTCCCAGCCGCGCCGCGCGCTCCAAGTCCGACGCGCGCACGCCCAGCCCCGCTCCGCTCCCCTCGCCTCCCCCAAAACACCCTTAAAGGCAACCGGGAGCAGGGCCGGGGCGGCGGCACCGGGCCGAGGGGCGCCGGCAAGCGGGGCCCCCACCGCCCCAACCCCAATCCCAAATATTCCTGCCGCCGTGTCCCGGTGCAACGCGGCAGCGCCTCGCACGCCCGCCGTGCAAGAGGCCCCGGGCCGGCCGTGGGGCACYGCAGGGTCTGCGCCTTGTGACGGGCCCCCCTCGGTGTGGGGGGCAGCCAGTGGGTCTGGGGGGCCCTTCTGCTCAGCCCCCCCCAGGTGCCACTGACAGGGGGTGGCTTGGGCCCCCAGTGGGTGCCGTGGGGTGCCCGTGCCCCACAGCGGGCTCTGGGGTGCACCGGGACCCTGGGCATTACTGCATGGGGGATGCAGCGGGGGGCAGAGCGGAGCTGCAGAGATTTTCCAGATGTTGCCTGCAGACAAGCACAGTGAAAGCATGGGAATGGCCTGGCTGGGAAAGGGGGTCCGTCGCCTCCTTACCCCACAGAAAGGGTGCCCCACAGCACACGGAGTCCTGCTGGCCTGTCCCCAAACCACCAACGTCCCCTCCTCCTTCCTGCCATCCACCTCCTCTTCCTCGGGCCCCCAGGCAGGACCCGTGGGGCTCTGCAGAGCCCGCTGCCCCCCGCCCTCCCGCCAGCCCCTCCGCTCACCCTGCGCGCCGAGGGCGGCAGCCCGGCCCCGGGCGCGGGTGCCGGCGGCTGCCGGGCGCACCAGCGCTCAGCGCCAGGACAGCGGCACCCTGGGGACAGGCTGCACAAGGCGCTGCCGCCGCGGGGCCGGCGTTGCGCCCGCCCCACCGTGGCCCACGGAAAGGCAAACAGGCCGGGGAGGCCGCGAGCCAGCCACGGGCCCTGCACTGTTGACATTTTCTCAAGCAACACCTCCCCGWTGGTGTTTGCGTTTCCGACCTGGGGCTGCTCTGAGCCAAGAGAGCCCGGCCGGCCCTGCCGGGAGCTGCCGTGGGGCAGGAGCAACAGGGAGCGCTTCCCGCTCCTGGCACAGGGCACCTGCCTTTCCAGGGGCTGCCAGGTCCCTCCGGGCAAACTGGGCGCTCTGCCCCCCAACCTGCTCCCGACGTGCCCCGGGAGGGACATCTGTGAGCCAGCCCAGCCCTGCAGCCCCTCTGGGTCTGCTGCCCTCCAGCAATGTGGGGAGAGGTGCCACCGGTGTCCCTATGCACGGGGGAAACTGAGGCAGGGATCAGCTAAGCAGCCTCCAGGAGGCAGGGGGAGCGGGACACGGCGGCACTGCGGGGAGGTGAACCTGGGATGAATCAGCCCTCGGATTCCCCGGCGGCCGGGGCCACACGGTGCCACTGGAACGGGGCACCAAGAGCACCCGCGGGCCTTGCCCGCGGCTGAGGACGGAGCAAGGGAGCCACAATGTCCCCAGCAGGCATGTCCCCATGCTCCTGCAGAGCAGCCTCCCGCCCCACCGCGCTGCCCGGCGCGGGGCCGCCTTGCCGACCGGCACCGCGAGGAGGACGAGGGACGGGTGTCAGCGCTCGCCATCGCTGGCCGAGGGCCACGAGGGGCCCCCTCAGCCGCAGCCCGACCCGGGACGGCCCCAAGTGACAAGGTCCCCCCGCAGGCGCCGAGCCCCTCGTCCCGGCACGGTGCCCGCTGTGGGGCTCACGGGCAGCACCGGGGCCAGATCCCCGCCGAGCATCTCGCACGGGTTCCCTGCGCAGCCCGGGCCGTTTCCTACCCGGGGCTCAGCTCCAGCACGGCACGAAGCAGCGCTCCCGAGGGCAGAGCTGGCCCTGTCCCCATCCCCATCCCTATGAGCCGGGTGCTGCACCGCCAGGAGCARGAGTCTCCCAGCAGGAAAGGCCTCCCTGCATCCCACGGCTCTGAGCACACAGAGCACGGCTGGGAGCGAGTCCGCAGCTCGGGCCAGGACCACAGCCCCATCCGCAGCCGCCTGCAGGAGGGGACACAAATCCCCACAGCCGCTTCCTGGGATCTGCTGGCCGCTATTCCTTGGGAAGTGAAATGTCCCCGGCGGGACAGCTCCTGGAGCCTGGGAAACCCCAGCGCCGGAAAAGCCAGGGACCACATGGGAAAAGAGCARCGTTGGAGTGGGAGGTGGAAACGAGCGGGTGAGCGCGGGGCACTGACGGCGGGAGCTGTCCCTGGGGATGCGCAGGAGCTGGATGCGCAGGAGCTGTCCCTCGGGGACATGACGTGGCCCCTCGGCGGGACACGGACAGAAACGTCCTGGACAGATCCAAATGCTCCGGGGGCAGCAGTGCCGGGACAGAGGGTCCAGCTCCCATCGAGCACCGAGACGGGACACGGAGCCTGGGCGGGCGGCGCTTCCCAGCTTCCCGGCACGGCCACCAGTGCAGCGAGCGCGGGCGGCCTCGGCACCGGCCCCGAGGCTGCGGGAAGGGCCCCAGCTCCTCGGAGCAGCCGGGCCGACCTCCCCCCCGCCGGAGCTGCGACACAGGCCGAATATTTGGGCGGTGAGGTAAAGAGGAGGAAAAGGGAAGCAGCGAGAAAAAAAAAAATCAGAGCTCCCCCGCGCGCGGAGCTGCTGCGTAARCACGACCCGGCAGCGCGGCCGGCCCCAGCCCGGCAGCCCCCAGCCCGGGACACACATTCCCCGCCGCCCGCTCCGTTATGGAGACCGGGGGTGTTGCTCCTTATCCGCCTCCGAGCGAGGGGGGCTTGAACACGGCGGATGGAGGCGCGTCGCCGCTCAGGAGGAGCCGGCGGGGCCTGGCGGGAGCGCTGACAGGGGAAGCGCCGGCCTGTCCCAGCACGGGGCCGCACACCGTGTCCCCTCCCTGCAGCCACCCAGCGGGCACAGCCTGGGGTCCGGCCRTGCCACTGCCCACGGAGCCGCGCAGGCTGCTGCACCCACTGCCGTGTCCATAGGACTCCCTGCCTCAGTTTCCCTTCTCTTTTGCAAAGCCGGGGGTCCCCGGGGGCCACGGGGAAAGGGGAGGACGCACGCGCCGCTCTCCAGCACCGCGCACCCGTCACGGACCCCCTGCGCTGCCCCCCTGCCGAGGTCCCCTGCGTGTGCGAGGGGGCAGGAGGCGCCGCGGGCACCGCGAGCGGTGGCCCTCTCCGGACGCGCCTCGCTGCGCCGCGCTGGCCCCGCTCCAGCACCCGGTTTAATGATGGACAAACCGCCCCGCAGCCCCGTTGCAGAGGGGGCACTGGAAAAACAAGCTGGGGCTGGCGCCAGGCCAGCGGGTACGGGCTGGCGCGGAGGCAGCGGGCAGGGCCTGCGGGAAGCACACGCACGGGAGCGCGCACACGTGCACGGGCACACGCCAGCGCCTGCGCGTGCAGAGCCGGGCACACGCTCTTGCACACTCACGCGCGCATTGCTGTGCACACCCGGCACACACGCGTTCTTGCACACACACGGACATGCGTTTGCAAAGCCCTGCTCACACACACAGACATGCACACACAGACATGCTCACGCACACGCCTGTGCTCATGCACACGTGCACGACACTGCACACTCAGGCTCAGACCCAGTGCACTCACACTCACACTCACACATGCACAAGCACAGACTGTGGTTTGGGAGGAGATTGGAGCTGCAAGGCCCCCCATGCACTGCACGACACCCTCGCACTGCCTCAGCTGCCGGGCACCCCGTTGTGCCAGGAGCTGGGGTMCCCCTGTGCCCAAGGGGACAGGCTGGCACCAGCCAGGCCACAGGGCAGCGCAGCCCAGCTCGCTTCCCAGAACCGCCGCTCAGCGATCCAAGGGCAACTGGGCAGCCCAAGGCAGCCGCTCTGCCCGCTCCCAGCCTAAGTGGCCGCTAGGCGCCAGCCTCCAGCGCCAGCAAAGACGCGCTGCCCGTGTCCGCCCAGCCCAACACCGGAGCAAATCCCAGCCTCTCGGTACAGGGAGCCCATCCCGCTGCCTCGGGCTTTCCCGTGCTCCATGGCCAGCCCCGCGGCACAGGGACACGCAGGGCAGAGCCTCCTCCCGGCCTGCGTGGTCACCGGTGCCATCACGCGCGCCGAGAGCCAATGTCCGGACACTGCTGCCCGACACGCCATGCTCGGGGCTGGGGGGTGCCCAGCGGCACCTGATGCCACTCCAGGACTCAGATCCCCCACTTGGAAAAGGAGGACACACCTGCTTTGGGAGAAGGGGCTCCAGCAGGGAGGGATGGGCAGAGGGGGCGGGATAGGGGGCTCACGTGTGCCAGTGTCCGTCTGTCCATCCCTCTTGGAGAGAGGGAGAGAGAGAGGGAGGGAGGGATGTTTGCTAAGCAAGGAAAAATCCCTGAGCGGAGGGGCCGGGCGCGAGAAGGGCCTTACATGGGCATGGGAACGGCTTCGTGCTTCCCAGATGAGGTGAGTGCGTCTGCCCCGGCCCCCCCGGTGCCACCCACRGGCTCCGGGCGCCCCGCCAGCCGCMACRGGGCACCGGCCGCTGCRCCGCGCCTGCTGTGGGGCTYGCGGGACCCCACGGGCGCGGGGCTCGTCCCCTCGCTGCCCCC